CCTGTTCTTTTTTTAACCTTAGGTCATCTTAGGTTAAAAAAGTTTCTCCCCCTAGTGGTAGAGTACGTATTAACCAGCTTTGCATTAGTTCCTATGGGAACTAATGCTTCAATGTACGAACGCACCTCTACATAACAAAAAAACAGCCAGAATGGATTAATTGGTTTTCAGTCCATTCCTATGGGAAATTTTGCTTCAACTTAAGAACGTTTCAACTTAAGAACACCATTCCAAAACGGATTAAGTTCTTAAGTAGAGGTTCCACTGTAGTTTCTATGGACGGAAAAGAGCAGATACAGATTAAATGGTTTTCAATGCATTCCTATGGGAAATGCAGATTCAACATAAGAACTTTTCAACTTGAGAACCACCTTCCAATACGGATTAAGTTCTTAAGTAGAGACCCCACTGTATATACATACATACCATTTTCCGTGTATAAGACTATACTTTTGTCTAAAATTTTTAGACGAAAAATTGAGGGTTGTTTTATACACGGAAGTAAGCTGAGGAGAGTAGAAGTGGAGGGGAAAGCAGGGATCAAATTGTTCATGCACTGCTTTGATCCCTTTTGCCCTACACTTGCTAAGCCCCACTTAAATTTCTTAATTTTGGGTTAGAAAAGTGGTGGGCGTCTTATACATGGGAAAATATGCGGTGTGTGTGTGGGGGGTATGTCTGCGTAAATAATCATGAGAGTCTGGCTGAGAAGTGACATGAGCCTTGATTTTAGTCTCTTCAATTTCAATTTCTCCTCTTCTCTCCCAACTCTTTTATGTGAAGGGAAAGAGGCTCTTGTTGGTGGCATTCTTACTCTTGGCCGTGTCTCCCTGTGCCAGCCGCAGAACCAGCACCACCAGCAGCCGCAACAGCCTGGCCTGCCACCCCGTCAATGCCACCATTGCAGCAGAGAAAGATGACTGCCCTGTCTGCATGCCTGTCACCACCTCCATCTGCAGCGGCTACTGTGAGACCAGGGTGTGTAAATATATAGGCACACCAGAGAAAAGGCAGGGGATGGGACAGAGCTTGGATGCATGATGGGTTTGGACTACAACCTCCAGAGGCCCACAGTCCTGCTTGGTGGAGAGGTCTGGTACTTGTTTCCAAACTTGGGGTGGTGGGAGAAATCTTACCAATCCACAGCATCTGTTTATGATTCAAGATGATTGGATAGACCTGGCAGCCATGCGTTGCCAACAACACCCTCCCAGAGATCACTATGGGGACTGTGTCTTAGGAGTAGGTCTACAAGCTTGACCATCATCTGCCAGTAAATGCCCAGCTTATGGTAGTGGTGAGGGACATACAGATTTCCAGGCAATGTTGGATCATTTCAGCCAGAACTTGGAAAAGGTACTCTTTTGGACTGCAGTACTGCAAATCTTTTACAATCATGAAGGCTTGAAAGTCGCAATCAGCAGAAGTAACTTTTCCATGCTCTGCCTTTAACCCTTAGTCTGCGTAGCTAATGGTGAGGGATCACAGGAGTTGCAGTCCAGCAACATCTGGAGGGCTGTACATATCTAACATCTGGCTTATGGGGGGAAAAGACATCTAGTCCTTGACAAGTTTTTAGGGTTATGCTGATATGCTGCTGGATAACAGACTCTGAGATGTCAAAGCTCATCTGAATTCAAATACAAATACCGAAATGGCCTTGTCCAAGAGTCTGCTATCTATTCCAGCAACATTTAAGCAGCAAAAGCTTCCCTCATTAGCTCCTGCCCTCTGTACTCATAACTTAGCATGGTGTAGCCACTCACATATAGTTTTTCCCCACCCCATTTTGGCAGGAAATGTTATGGAAGACCATTTTCTCCTCTTTCAACCAACGTGTCTGCACCTACAAGGAGGTCCGCTACGATACTGTGCTGCTGAGGGGATGTCCACCAGGTGTTGATCCAACTTTCATGTACCCCGTGGCTCTCAGTTGCCACTGTGACCTCTGTAAGATGGACTCCAGCGACTGCACCGTTCAGAGCACTGGGCCCAACTCCTGTAGCAACCAAGCCAGCTTTGCACAATGAAAACAAGGAAATGGATAAATGTCATGCAAGAACATCATGTTGTCTGCAAGAGATGTTTGAGTCAATGGACACAAGGCAGCCAAATGTCTTGACTTTCAGCCCCTTTGCCCGCTCTATCTCCCCAGTTCTTCCCCTTTCACCCTTCTAATAAGGTACATCATCTTTTTTCTGAAAGAGTATCCCAAATATAAATCTCGTCTCCTGTCTATGAAGAACCCATGCTAATTCCTAAGAAGATTCTTGGTTCTCAGCTTTCTTCCCCCAAAGAACATGGGGATCTATACCTTGTTTTTCAGGTTTAAAAAAACCCAAAAAACAAAACCCAGCAACGTGGTCTAAGAATGGCCCTGAACGCATTGAACATAGATAGCAAAGTTCTTTGGAGTGATGAAGTGGAACAAGATGCGAGAGGCAGAATAGTTCAGGGAGTCCAGATGGCAAGGGAAAAGGAGAGAAGAGCAACCTTCCTAAAACATGGGTGGGCAAAGTGCAGGTCATGGGCTTCATCTGGGCCCTAGTGCTTCTGGTTTTAAAAAGTGCACTCCTCTCAGGCTGAAAACAGCTGGAAGGGATGTGGTTAAACTTCCCTCTCCACTCCCTAGAGCAGTGGTTCCCAACCATGGGTAGCCCAAGTGTTCTTAGATTGCAATTCCCAGATGCTTTCACCACAAGGGTTTCCTGGGAGGTGCAGTCCAAGGACATCTGGGTTATTTACCCACATTGGGGAGCCACTGTCCTGGAGGAATCAGGGGGTCTTTTTAAGTGAGAAAAATTGGGCCAGGGAGTGCCTTGTTCAGGCCTTCTGGTTTCTGGATTTCTATGGCGAAAAGGTCAGCCGCTACCTCTACAGCAAGAGACCCTCCCCTTGGCAACACCTTCACTGAAGCCTGCAGGAATCCAACTTCTTCTTCAGCTCCACCCTCCTTCCCAGTTTTCAGCTCTCTGCCTTCCCAAATTCTGTGAAGGATCCTTTGAAATTCCCAGAGCTGTGCAAAGGCTCAGGCTTTCCTGGCTTCGCTCCTCAGCAGTGTTGTGTCTCTGCCAAGAGGAGAAGCCTTTCTGAAACGGGGTAAGATAGAAGCAGACAGAATAGGTCGTAGGGCTGTTGTGGGGCAGGGACCTGTCCTGAGAAAGACCAAGACAAAGAGAGAAGAAAGTAACATTTATTAACAAATGGGAAAAATTACACACAACGGAGAAAGGAACAGTGGCATTCTCTCAAAAAGAAGCACTGCCCCAGTGCAGAAGTGATCTCAGTGCTAAGTGAGACCAGAACAAGTCTTCCTCTGCCATCAGATGAGGTCTCTAAGGATGTCATCTTCCATGATGCTGGGGGCTGGAACTGGCTGTAGGCCTGGCTGGGATACAGGCCCTCGAGGACCGGTGTTCAACATCATTTGACCTGGGAGAGAGAAGCGGGACAACAAGTAGAAATACATTACTGGAATGAATGAAGTGCTCTCTCTCACTTTTTCTCATGCACACACGCATGCACAAAGCAAATAGGAACACCATACGTAGCTGAAATCCTGTTGCTTAGCATAGTAAGTTGTACTAAACTAAGCCACGAAACTAGTAGTGATTTGGCTTTTCAATTCTGCCATAAGTGCCATTAATTCAAATGGGTCTACTGTAGTTGCAACTTATTTAAAACAATGAAACATAGAGCAGACTCACTAAGTCTTCACTGATTCCACAGCCCTATGCTAAAGCAAAGCAAGTGTGCTGCTTAAAACACTCTATGGGCAATTTACAATTTAATTCTGCAGGCTACACATTGTCCACTCTCATGAGCTGGGTACTCAGTTTACTGACCTCCGAAGGATGGAAGGCTGAATCAATCCTGAGCTGAGCAGAGTTTTGACTTCAGTACTGCATTTTAACCACTGTGCCATGTCCAAGTCCAAATCTTACTCTAGAGCAATTTACTGCACTAAGCAAAAGGATTTCAGCCTGCATGTCGTCAACCACTTCCCCTCCTTCAACAACAGCAACTCCAACAAGAATACAATAACCATGTTCCTGATAGTCACTGGCTTCCAAAGGGGGTGGTCAGAGTTTCAGCAGACAACAAACCCACGACATTTCAGATTTCTAGAAAAGCCTTCCTCAACCAGGGAACCTCCTAAGACGTTAAGGTTCCCAACTTGTAACATCTCCAGTCAGCCTGGATGACATCAGATTCACGAAGACTGTCCCAGGTATTACAATGATCACATATACTGATAGTACATATAAATCAAGAAAGAACATATAATACAGTCAAAGCACTCAATTCTTGTGTGTGCTCCCATCCACTTGATTTTTCTCTCTCTAGTCAATCATTGGGCCTTAGCAGAACAAGTAAAAGCTTCTTCAGACTTCTTTGAAACAAAGATCCGGGCCCAGTTTTCAAATGCAGGCATTAACGTTGGCTGCTTCTTGCCTTTTACGTACAGGCGTACCTCGGTTTACGAACGCCTTGGTTAATGTAATTTTTGGATTACAAATGAAAATCCATTGAAAATAATGCCTCAGTTTATGATTTTTTCCCCGCAATATGAAGCAAGTTTCCCCAGGATGCATTATACCTGGGAGGTTTATAGCGCCGCCCCCGTGCATGCGTTCCTGTGGGAAACCATGTTTCGGTTTACGTATTTTTCGCATTACGAAAGGTCCCGGAGAACGCATTACATTCGTAAACCAGGGTACGGCTGTATATACGTACCTTGCAAAGGTGCCCGCGGTGCCATCTGGGCTGGCCACTGCTGTCCGGGGGCTTGGTGCATGAGGGGCTGTCCAGGGAGTTGGAGCTGCTGCTGCCCTAGAGCCTGCCCCATGGGCTGGTGGGGCAGCATTCCTGGAGAACCCTGCTGGAGGTGGTGGAGGGGCTGCTGGGACTGAGGAACTCCAGCTTGTGGCTGTAAACAGAAGGGGCAGTAGATGAGAATGCAGCACCAGGAGGAATGGTTCCTCAACCAGGCAAATCTACACATAAGAAGAGCCTCTGGTGCATCAGATCAGACGTTCCTCTAGTCTAGCATTGTGATCTCACGGTGTTCAAACTGGATACATGTTCCTATTTATGTATTTCTTCCATTGATATCCAACTTTTCCTCCAAATCATTCAACAAGCATACGTAGTCCTGTTCCTCCCTACTTTATTTTTACAACACCCCTGCGAAGTAGGTAAGGATGGGAAAAGTATGACTGCCTCAATTTCACCCCGAGACCTTCACTGCTGAGCAGTAATTTGAACCCAGGCCTCCCAAGTCCAAGTCTAACTTGCTAGCTTTCTCAAGCAGGTGTGGGGGAGCCCACAAGGAGGATGTGATGACTAGAGATGGGCACAAACCGCCAAACCATCAGTTCATCAAAACAGGTGCTCGGCACTTCCCAGCTCCACCTCGTCTCGTGGGCACCAATCAGAGGCAGCGCCTGGAGGAGGCTGGGCAGAGAAGCTGGAGAACTGCCTCTGAGTGGGTGCCTGCAAGAGGAGGTGGGCCTGGAAAGTGCCAAACACTTTGTTTGGCCAAAGGACAACGCTCACAAACCGCCGGTGTGGCAGTTCATATCCACCTCTAGTGATGACAATAGCCTTTCCTGTTTTCCTCAGTGGAGAAGAGGGAGACCATGCTTACCGGCTGCTGGCTGAGGAGGAGACTTCGGAGCTGAGGATTGGCTCCGGGGTTTTGGGGCCTAAGCATGGTGCCCCCTTGGGTGGCCTGTGGCCCAGCCTGTGGGGGACCCGGTGCTTGGGGTGGCTGGCTGGCGGGTGGGGCAGCCGGCTGTGGTTGCTGCACTCGGAGTTGCAGCTGGGGAAAAAAGATGAAGAAGAAATATTATCCAATCGGGTAGCGTTTGTTCGGCCCAGCCCTCCTTCCCCACAGAGGCGCGCATGAGGCAGAGGAACTACAAAGACAGATCTACAAGAGAAAAGCTGCTGCTGGAGGGGGCACTGGATTCCAGAGAAGGACCAATTGTTCATAGGCAAGGCTGTGAATGTATTTACAGAACGTTCTGCAGTGGTGGTGACCAAAGCATTTTAAGAGGCTCTGCAGGAGAATCATACAGGCATTCAAAAGAGGAAAGCTGTGGATAAAAGAATTGTAGTATTGCCCCTGCCCATAACAGCAGGTAGAAAGCAAGAGCAGTATGGGGGGAAAAAGGCTGCTGCAAGACCCATGGCCACCAACAGAAGCACCATTTTCAGTTGAGAAGCTGTAGTGCCGGTTACAGCATAAGACAAATCCCTTGAAGGAATGTCTTCCTTCTAGGTCTAGGGTCCATACGGTTGATTAGACTGGGCAGTGTAAACAGGGGGGCTCCCAGAGGGTTGAATGAACGCACCCTCAACCCCTGCAGAAGAGCTCCTACTTGGGGAAGAGACTTACCAGGCCCTGCTGCCGCTGCTGTTCTTCCATGATCCCCACCTGAGGCATTCCGGGGCTCACCTGTTGCCCAGCCATCTGCAAGACAACATCAGAAGAGGGTAGAAAGAGGTGGCAACCATCGAGGTAACAGCACGACTGTTCCAGGCTCAGACAAACTGCCAACAACTAGCTCTCCCTTCTTGCCCGTCTGCTCCTGAATTGCCCCTGCCTCATAGAACTCTGGACGGAACTCCTTTTTACCCCAGATCTTACCTGCTGCTGGACCCCCTGTGTCACTGGCAAAGTGCCAGGCTGCTTTGTCAGGAAGGGCTGTGTGTTGGGGGCAGATCCCAGGGGCTGGGACCCTCCCATCTGCTGTAAAGGGAGGGAGAAATAGGGGATTTACAAGCATATGGAAATGGGTCTGTGGGAGACTGATGGGGGAAGACTTTGCACTAAGAAACTGGATGATTTGGGGGTGAGATGGTGTAATGCCAGTTTAAAAAAAAACAAGTCACAGTTATGGAGACCAAGATGAATCTAAGGGAGGACTGGGGAACATGAGCCCTCCAGATGTTGCTGGACTGCAAGTCCCATCAGTCACAGCCAGTATAGGCAAAGTCAAAAGTTGATGGAAAGCACAGTATCACTATATCTGGGGAGGGCCATGCATTACTCCTCTTTGGTTTAACTGTCAATCTGTATGCAGGGGTAGATGTTTCAAGCACTGCACAAAACAGCAGATCAGGAATCAAAACCAAGGCAGAATTCAAAGCAAAGCGTGCTGCTTATATAACACCCCATAACGTTAAAACACTTTCTGGGTGGTTTACAATTACGCAGGCTACACATTGCCTGGAAGGATGCATGCATTACTCCTCTTTGGTTTAACTGTCAATCTGTATGCAGGGGTAGATGTTTCAAGCACTGCACAAAACAGCAGATCAGGAATCAAAACCAAGGCAGAATTCAAAGCAAAGCGTGCTGCTTATATAACACCCCATAACGTTAAAACACTTTCTGGGTGGTTTACAATTACACAGGCTACACATTGCCTGGAAGGATGGAAGGCTGTGTCAACCTCAAGCTGGCTACCTGAGTCTGTTGGGATTGAACTCAGGTTGTGAGCACAGGCTTGACTGCAGTAATGCAGTTTAACCACGGTGCCACAAGGAAGAAACCACGGCAGAGCCCTGGTTTCTTAGCGATCCAAGGAATACTATGAGAAACACATTCAGTCTTATCCCTACGCTTAGCAATGAATCATTCCAGGACACGGAAATACTGTCAGAAGTTTAGGAAGAGAGGGCAATGGTCTAATTCTGGGAAACATTATATTAATTTCTGCACAGCACTCTACTTCAGACAGAAGATTATTATTAGTTTTATTTATATGCCGATTTATATGCCGCGGCTGCATTACAGGCATCAAACAGTTAGAGATTACAGCATGTCTCCCAACAAGGGACCCAAAGCGGCTGCATTACAGGCATCAAACAGTTAAAGAGATTACAGCATATGGAGGTCTAAGGACTTTAGTATAACTGGCTGAGTGGCTGGAAACAGTACCCTGAGGGAACAGCCACCTGCATACCTTTTGCTGCTGGACTTGCTTGTGATTGGTGATGACCTGCCGTATGCCATTGACGAAACCACTCTGGTCGTAGGGAATGAGCCCCATGAAGATCTTCTTCTTGGAAGAATACAGTAGCATCAGCACCCGCACTTCACAGGGCGTCGTGTGAGGGAAGTGAACACAGCCCGCCTGCTCGTATGATATGAATAACAAACTTCCTTAAGAATCTTACCCAATGGGAAACGTCTCCCCTCCTCTCTCTGTCCCCTACCCTAAAAGTTAGAAAGAAGCTCATTTCAGAAGACAAAGACCCATGACTGGAAAACTCCACCTACAAAGAGCAAGGTGTATCCTGAGGGCCAGACATTGCCGTTCACAATTGCGAGACCCCCACCCCTTGTCAGGAAGCACCACTTAGCAGCTGCTGCCGTCACCAGCAATCTGGATGCTCGGCCTTTGTGATTTATTCAACAGGGAATAGCAACAGGCTATATTAGGGAAGGAGAATGTGTAGCCTTCCAGATGCTGATGGACTGCAACTCCCATGATCCCTCCCTCATGGGTTATGTTGCCTCACAACTCTGAAAAAGGCAACTGATTCGACTGTGAGCAGCCACAGCTGGGGAAATCCTACGGATCTGCTGGCCCAGCTCAAGCATCCCCTGCCACATGTAGTGCCTTACAAATCCACTGCCCATGATGCGGTAAAGTCCCTTAAGCGATTCCAGGTCCTTGTTGGTGAAGTGGAACTGCACCATGCGTGAATTGCGGAACAGGTGGCCCAGCGTAGTCTGTGGGGAGAGGAACAGAGGTGAATGGGTCCGGAGCCTGCTTACTATCAAACATCTAAGAAAAACATGTACTGTATATTAACACAGAGTTTGCCAATATTACATTTATCCCTCACAGGGATGTAAAAGACTCGTCAAAGCACAGATGGTGTAGCACTTATCAGCTGAGCACAGTAAGTGAACAGATTCATCTGTAGCAACTTGCAAGAGACAAATGACATTTTTTAGCATTTAAGACTAAGATTTCCAGAACACATTTGCTACTTGCAGTGCAACATCTGCCTCACTCATAGAAATTATGTCCATATGATGGAAACAAGCAGATGCCCTATGGCTCCTAACACATTCTATTATGTCTTCGAATATGATATGAACAGCCTCCTCCTCCTGTTGTACCTCTGCTCTTAAGTAGCATGATTGTTTACTGTGCCCATTTTACAGATGCTAAGACAATAACTAACCCCCTAAAGGCTGGCAAGAAGGAATACAGAGTTAAGTTTCCCACTGCATTTATACAGTACTTAAAGCCCTCAAGCCTCAGGCCCCCAGATGTCTTCAGTCCGCCATTCCCCTCACTCCAAGCCACTGCATGGACTTGGCTACTGAAAACGGAAACTGTACTCTGGCATCTCTTGGGCATCCAAGCTTGGAAACGTCTATTATAGTGTGATGCGGTTTAGCATAGACCCAAGTTCTGTCCCTTACCAGGAGCTGCTGTGGGATCAGCTGCATGATGAGTTTTTGGGGCCACTGCTCAGCTTTCCTACAAGCAAGGAGAGATGGGTTAATTATTCATCCGTCCTCAATGGCAGGTTATATTACCATAGGAAACAGGGTGGGCAAAGTGCAGTTCAAAGGTGTCCAAGGCTGTTTCTGTGACACCCCCCTCCCCCCATCTCTCAGTGCTCCTCAGAAATTCTGTTGGTTTTTTTTAATGGCAGTTTGTGGCCAATCTGCTTACCCCTCCTTCCCAATAAGACTTATTGGAAGAAGTGTTTACTGGAATCAGAATCCCCTAATTACCAGCATCCTGCCCAGACGATATTAAAAAAGATTTAAACTTTAATTATTCCTAAAAGTGCCTTAATTGTTATCTGAAAAGCAAAACTCTGATTTGTAGACGTCCATTAGCTGCTACTGTTGCTATCACAGTCAGCAAAATTAAAAGGCATAGTTCTCAGAACTGATTTTGAATTATTTTAAAATAAATGTAATTTATTCTACTGAATGACAACTTTATTGAACGTTTAGTTAATTAAGCATCACTAGGTTTGGAGGGAAAATTATGAAACACATATCACAATATAAATTATAAACTGAGCATGCCCCTAAGCCGAGTTCCACCTTGGGCATGGCCCTCAAAGCATCATGCCAACTTGCTACGGGGCCACAAACCTGACATAATAAAAATAATGAATTCAATTCTCTGAATGGCAGTCCTTAAGCAAGCGAGGGGAATCACATTGCTGTGAGACTGCTCTTATGCACACGGCTTTAACCCAGAGGCCCTATGAGAAGGTACTCAACAAGACCTATATTTTGAATAAGTGCCAGGCTTTTCTCCAGCAGATCTCAAATGGAAACTGCGATGCTCTAGCTGTTGCTTGACTCCAGCTGACATCACATACATGCTCCCCCATGCTCAGCCAGGCTGGCTGAGACCCATGAGAGTTGGATGCAGCAACCTCTGGAAGAACGTGGCTTCCTCGCCTACTCCCAGAACTCTTCTTTAACGACACTGGGATTAGGGACACCGGACCCCTGTGCAGTTCAAAATCTGTGTATAACCCTTATGGCCCCCCCACCTTAACTACAAAGCATAAACAGTTGATTCTCTTTCTCTCTCTCCCGCTCACTCTCTCTCTCTCTCTCTCACACACACACACACACACACACACGCACACACACACACACACACACACAGCTAAAGGAGGGGGGAAGCCTCTGCCAGAGGAGAAAAAAGAAAGGCATGACCTCTCCTTAGGTCGTGAGCACAGTTTTAGCTGCAGTACAGCATTTTAACCACTGCGCCAACTTAACTACAAAGCATAAACAGTTGATTCTCTTTCTCTCTCTCCTGCTCACTCTCTCTCTCTTTCACACACACACACAGCTAAAGGGGGGGGGAAGCCTCTGCCAGAGGGGAAAAAAAGAAAGGCATGACCTCTCCTCCTCAGCCCTCCCCACTGGATCAGCAGGGCAGTTATGGCATCCCTTGACCCGGGTCAGCCTCCTGGCATGTCCCAGCCCTCTCCCCAGCTGCCAGGTGGAGCTGCCATGTCAGCAGAGGGGTGCCAACTGGACCACCACACCGCCAACCACAGGGGCTTTTGGTGAGTCCAAGACCCACTTTTCCCAGGCTACTTCCTGGAGGTAAACAGCAGCCCAGTGCCTACTGAATATTTGTTTGTTTGGAGGGGAAACCCATGTATAAACAAAGCAGTGCTGCTCAAACCTATGCAACTCAAGTGAGAAGTGTAGATACTGTCACCTGTTGAACTGGAGAGCCTATAGGGGGTGGTATAGACAATGGCACCTGTCCCTGCCCGCAGAAACTTTCCTCGTCCTCCACCACTCCCCGCAAAGTGACAGCAGGACCAACAAGGAGCTGGCGTGTGAAACTCCTGCTCACTGCATTCCTTGTCTGCTTCTCCTCTCACGCAAAGCTCCTCTTCTCTCTTCCCCTGACCATCTCTATCCTTCCCCCAGTCTACTGTGTCTCAGCCCACGGCTGCTCCCCCCGGAACACCCATTTTGTTTCCCCCCCAACCTGACCATCTCTATCCTTCCCCCAGTCTACCATGACTCAGCCCACGGCTGCTCCCTGCTCCCCCATTTTGTCTCCTTCCCAATCAAGGATGCCTTGCAGTTACAGCTTTTGACTGCACCACCCTCCCAAGCGCCTTCAGTCACACTGAACAGATACTCACAGGTTCTCCCCTTGATTAACATACACCTGGCACGGCAGGGAACGTGTAAGCTTTGTGTTGGAATCCACAGAAGCTGGCTTGGGCTTCTGAGGGAAAAGGGAGACCACAGATTGTCAAAACATATCAGGGCAAAGGGGGGCCTGTTCTCCCCTCGCTCCTCCTCTCCCCTCCAAGGCCCGTCTCTCACCTCTTGCCATTCCAGCACTCCACTCCAGGCGATCACCTTGTTAGTGACTGACTGTGGCGTTGCTCCGATTTGTGCCTGTGCTGGCTGGGCCACGTTCATGCTGTTAGGTGCCACGCCAGTAGGCTGGAGGTGCGGAGGAAGAAAGGACAGGCAAGAGTGACAAGTGATCCAGATGACAAGCCTGAAGAAGTTACACACTTGAAATACAACTCCCAGGATCCTCCAGCCACTAAGGCTAGGGGAATTCTAGAGATGTTACACAGCAAAAGGGGCCTGTATGCACAGAGGCACCCACCGGCCTCCCTCCCAAACTGACGGAGCTTATACATACCATGGCTGAGGCCACGGACTGTGGAGGAGCTTGCACAGGTGGCTGGACCAGCAGGCCAGAGCCTGTGGTTACGGTGGAAACCAAGCTGGACTGAGAAGAGACGGGGGGCTTTTGAGGCAGGGCTGGGACTGATCCAGTGGGCAACGTCTGTGTGGGAGCCTGGCTGAAGGCTGGCTGCATGGGGTTCATGGGGGTAACTGTAGAGAAGACCATGAGAAGGCAACCCAGCCGTGAGAACCCGCCATCCTTTAATCCCACCCCAACACTGTTTTTGAACTGCTCCCTCTCTAATTCTAGAGATACCCCTTTACTCTGCAATCCCGCAAAACAGAGAAGGACTTACAGCGGGTGCTCATGGCTTTCTGGCTTTTGGCAGCCTCCACAGCAGACTGAGCAGCTGCCTGGGCGGCAGAGAGGGTAGTGGAGGGGGTCACCTAAAACAGAGAACACAGCTCAGCACAACGGATGCATTTTTTGCAAACAGGATCCCCTTCCCAACTGGCTTCTTTGAGGTTATGAGAGGTACCTGATAAGGCTGAGAAACTGGCGGCAGGGCTTGTGGTGGGGCGGCTGGGAGCTGGGGTGGCACCGTAGAAAGCTGTGGCTGGGGCACAGCCTGTTTGGGTTGCAAGGCGTTGGTGGCCGCTCCTCCTCCCACTGCAGAAAGAGAAGCAGGGCTGGTATGAGCCACCGACAAGGAAATGTCCATTTCCCTCTCTCTCTGAACTTCGTATTTTCTCTTTCAGATTTGGTGCAAATTCTGTTATGTTAAATATCATCAGTCACACCAACCATACAAGTGGAAAGGTGGGCCGTGTACTTCTTTTTTCCATGTTTTCCCTGTTGAGCTGGGCGGTATCCCACCCCCTGCCATGTTGTTTCCTAGTATCTATGAACCATTTGCTCCCAGACTGGCTCTTACCTGGAAGGACCATACCACGGATGAGGATCATATGCCGGGGGTCTTGACTGTAGTCCTTGAGCGGGGTCTCCATCATCCCTGCTGTCACAGCTTTCTCAAAGAGAATGCGCAGTGCAGGTAGCTTCCGTGGTGAGATAATGGAAAAGTGTATTCCACGCTGGGGAAGAAAGGCAGTGTGGATGAGCCAGGAAGGCAGCAAGTCCAACGCTTCCCCATGCTGCCTCAATATGGAAGACGGCCCTCTAAAGGAATGGGCTGCCAACATGCAGCTTCTGGATGCTGTTGGACTGCTAGTCCCATCATTTCTCACCAATAGCTATACTGGGCTAAGGCTGATGTGGACTGCAGTCTAACAACACTTGGGAGGGCCACAAACTATAACCAAGTACAATCATCCACAGAAGACATAATTAGCTCAAGGCCTGTGGGATAGCTGTCCTCAATCTAGTGCCTGCCAGCTGCTTCAAACTAAAGTTCTCAACATCCCAGCCAGCATCTATGAGGATGATGGGATTTGTAGTTCAACACAGCTGGCAGGTATTGGGCCACAGAAGGCTGTTCTAAGATATGCTTTACCTCTTAAAAGCTGATGCCAGTGAGCAACTGAGAGTAAGAAAACAAAAGGGAGGCTGTATTTATGTTATGTTTTACATCAAATACCTTCGACTTTCTTGACATGACTGTTCTAAGACTAGAAGAATCTGGCTTTATTTGTTGAGAAAGTTACTAGAACTCAGTGTTCTGCCCGGACCAGTTGTGAAATCTAAGTGGGAGGCTGCACCACACCGAGAAGATTTTATTGTTTGCAAGAGAGAGGCAAAACTCACTGCAGGATAGTACATGCAGAATGTTCAGTTTTAACACTTGAAACTGTAGGTTAGTTTAAAGATAACTTGACCCAAACTGTTAAACTCTTGTTTAAGAAGTGCACCATGGGAAAATGTCTAGAAGAGTCCAAAATCTCATACCTTTCTAAAATCTTAATAACGCAAGGAAGAAATTCAATGAGTCTGGCAGCTTTAACCAACTTGTAGCATCAACCAGAATCCATCTCTCCATCCAGAACATATAATGGGCCATCACAAATCCATGTCTAGTCTAATTCTCATTTTCAGACTGTATGTTTGTAATTGTGTAACTGCTTTTAAAAACTGAACTTATTCACAGAACAGTATCTGAACACACTCATTCTCCTTCATAAATTACTATGGTCACAGAGCTTAGCATCTGAAAAAGAGGCTGCTTCTAGGCCTTGGTCTTGCTGACTGACCATCGCTGGTTTAAAAGCTTATAATGACTAGGGGTGGTGGGAGATGACCTTCTTGAGCAAGCATTGAAACAGATGGGTGGCAGATGCAATATCCTTTACAAGGGTTGCCTTAGCAACACGCCTGCAAATCCCTCGTTTCAATTTCCTTTCCAATGAAGTTAAAAACAAAACAAAACAGAAGAATCCAACTAAATCAGACCGAAAGTGTATTTAATCTGATGTTCTTCTTGATACAGTGGTTAACTAGCTGCCCACAGAAAGTCCACATGTATGACATGAATTTCATAGAACATTGCAACTCATGCTCCCATGCAACTGATGTACAGACGCATATGGGACAATGAAAAAAGTGTAGTATAAATTCATCATATCTACCAGTCACCAGCAGCCCCATCCTTTATGATGTGGAAGAAGCCAGGAATCCAAGTTGTCACCATAACTCTTTTGCTTACCTCACCAATCTTCTGCACCAGGTTCTCAGTCGAATAGCCAGAGTATGTGATACTCTCCACAGCTGGCAGCAAGTAGGGCGGAGAGTTGCAGATAAGAATGCAGACTTTATGTGTGGGGCCTCTGTTTGGAGGGAGACAGAATGGACAGATGAGAACTCCTTGGGGAACAGTCCTATTTGGGCATGCTGCACTTTGATCAGGAGAGGGCTTCAAAAGCAAGAAGCCAAAGCCAGCCTTTTGCCTTTTCTTGATGCTATGGTTGGGTCTATCACTAGGAAGGAGACTGAAGAACTGCCTGATGGGAATCAGAACTTGAATGGAAGAGCCGCCATGTCCCATTCATTGTGGCTGTGGATGTTCCCAACGTAAAAAATTCACTTGCAAAGAGAGGGTCACCAGCAAGCACTCTACATTTACATATTTCTCGACTTCCACCTCACTTCCAATGAACTCAAGACCGAGCACATGGCCCTCCTCTCCCAACTTTGCTCTCATAATAAACCTCTGAGATAGATCCATTTGAAAGTGGCCAACTTTGAGACGCGCGGCGAGAGGGTAGAAGCTCTCCCCGGAGTGTCGTCCGCCTTCAGGAAAGAAAAGGAGTCGCAGACATACCCGCCTACACCACCCGTCACGACTATACAACGGGGAGTGGATACCCGGGAGTTAGAACAGGAACTATCAAAGCTGACAGTAGCCACTAAGACAGAGAGAGAAGTGGTGCGAACAGAAGAAAGGAGAAGGACCATCGTAGAGGCGGGAATAGGGGGTATAAAAAGGGAGGTAGCTGTTATACTGGGAGGTTGGGAAATGATTTGGGTGGAAGATCCCTGGACTGGGAAATGGGAGAAGGTCCGGGTTCCTAGGGAAGAAGCTGATTACCAAAGGAGAAGGGGGCTTCCACCACGTCCGTCTTATTGGGGTGAGTCAGAGGTGCGCGGGTGGCACCAGAGACTTCAGGAAAAGGAGGCAGTGGAAAGAGAAGAGCAGGAGAGGCGGCTATGGTGTCTGGAGCAAGCCCAGAGGAAAGGATTCTTGATGGACCGTGGGCACCCCTTTGAGGAGACAAAGACCTCTATGGACCCGAGGGGGGAGATGAGGAGACCACCCCATTATTAGACCCGAAGCAGCTGAGCTTGAAAGTAGCAAACCCTTCGTTAAGGGGCCGTGGAATGATTTGGCCTATAACCCGTTTAACAAGGATGTTTGGATGCCCTCATGGGACCCATTGGTCACGAGAGAAAAAGTTGAAGTTGAGTTTGAGACAAATGATTTGATGTTACATGTTCCAATAGAGCCTAGTTTTGATTTTGCAAAACAGATGTCCCCAGCGTCTATGTCGAAACCAGACGAGGCAATATTTGAACCCTCACACCAACACCAACCCAATAGTTCAATACTAAACCACATATTGCATTGTGTGCTTTAAACCATCATGAATTCACTGGGATTTTATCCATTATTACCTGGACATCTGCTTCAAGATTCGTTCTTAACAGGCTTCTACATAATCATGATAAGTGATTCTGTAGAGGCCTGTTAAGTACAAAACTTTGAAACAGATGTCCAGGTAATAATGAATGAAGTGTTAATGAAAACTTTTTGTTTTGTTGAAGAAAAAGTATCACTAAGAATGCAGTTACAATAGTCCTGGGGGAAAACGGCCTTTTGGAAAACAGATACAATTTTTATGTATTTTTATTTATTTTTAAATCCTTTCCTTCCCTGTGCCATTTGCTGGATCTAAATCGCAAACATCCTGGAAGTATCTATAATTTTATTTCTGCTTCAGGGTTTATGGGACCGTCATCATGGATGTTTTAGATATGAAAATAGAGCACAGCAGAAAGAGGGTGAAGTCCTCCCTCCCACACTGCCACTGCTCCAACGGCTGCTTTTAAGTTAAAGAAAGAACTTGAACTATTGACTGCTCTAATAGTTTCCACTTCCAAAAACTACAGGCAAAAAAGACAGACTGGCAACTCAGTTGGGGTCCCCTGAAAATCAGTGCAGACTTGAGGAGACCTCCTCAGGTGTGCCACTAGAGCTGTAGTCCTATACCCATTTACCTGGGAATAAGCTCTATTGAACTTAATAGGATCGACTTTTGAATAGGGTGAATAAAATTCAATTATTTTTAAAAATAAATAAATCATGATTTAAATTTTTAAAAATCAATTTTTTATTTAAATAGCCAAAATAATCCATTGTTTTACATTTCAATTATGATTTAAATCAAATCCACCCTGCTTCTATGTAGTCGTGCCCCGCTTAACGATAGCCCTGCATTACGACAAATCCGCTTTACGACGATGTTTTTGTGATTGCAAATGCGATTGCAAAACAATGGTCTAAATGGAATTTCGCTTAGCGATGATTGGTTCCCTGCTTCGGGAACCGATTTTCGCTTTACAACGATCAAAAACAGCTGATTGTTGGGTTTTCAAAATGGCCACCAGGTGCTTAAAATGGCTCTGCGCTGTGCTTAGGGACGGATTCCTCGCTATAGAGGCACCAAAAATGGTCGCCGTATGGAGGATCTTCGCTGGATGGTGAGTTTTCAGCCCACTGGAACGCACTGAACGGTTTTCAATGCGTTTCAATGGGCTTTTTAATTTCGCTTTACAATGTTTTCGCTTAACAGCGATTTTCCTGGAATGGATTATCGTCGTCAAGCGTTGCACCACTGTAGATACGTAAAGGTTTATGCTGTGGGACTCTTGATTCAGGCAGTAAGATCTACTTTTAGGAGTGCGCCTCTACCCACTTGTGTTCTGCCTGCATATTTGTGTTAATGCAAACACTGAAGGAAAAAGACATCTAAGTCTCCAGTAATTTTCCACCAAAAGAAACTGAATCTCACGGTACTCCTGTAATGTTATGCCATTTGGGAAATTGGAAGACCACATGTCATTGTTTCAAACAAACAAACAAACAAGCAGAGAACGAAAGCAGTCCCATGCAAAGAAGGGCTTTAACAGCCAGCAGAGGCACTCCAGCAGCAACCCCACCCTTCCCTCTTTCTCTTTCATTTCTGCAAGGCTTTCCTACCTTCCAAAAGAAAAGGCAAAAGCTTCTGGGAGTGGGGCGAGATGGGGGAAATGAGGAAAACCAAAACAAAATTCAGTTTTTGTTTCACAGCATTTCCTTACTGCTGCAAAACAACTCTGAACACAACTCTGGGGACCACAAATAAAAACAGAACATTTCACAGTTTCAACATGACTCATGGTGAAGTGCAAAAATTAATAACAGATGGGAAGTCTCACCTACGCCCGCTGAATCGTGACTTTCTGCATACCTCCCCCCCCCACTGCACTTACATTTGCTCTCTCATCTTCTTGAAGTCATCAAAGAGTTGGAGGGCAGTGCTGAGCCCTTCTGAGATGAGGCTGCAGCTCTCCCCGCCACCACCCACAAACCTGAGCAGAGGATGACAAAAAAGACAGATGATCGGGGTTGGAAACCTACAGCCTTGCCGACTCCATCTGGATGATCAAAGGCTTTGGGCTGTTTTTTGTTAATAGTTGAAATAACAAACCAGGAAGTCTTCCATTAATCATAGCCTCCCGTAAGGGTGAGGAACCCAAAGCGTGAACCTAAACATGCGGCTCAGGATGCTCCATGTCGCCCTGCCTCCTGCCCCATGACACATCATCTCTTTCTAAGGTTTGATCAATGGCAGTAAGATCTCTAAGCTAAAACATGCCAGTATTTTTGATCCTACCCGCCTGCCCTGGCCTTATCCACCCCAGAAGTATGGTGCCTGAAAACTTCTTTGAAACTGAATTTGGCTATGGGCTGAAAGAGGTTCCCTAACCTTGGTTTCCTGCCTGATCTGAACTAGAAAACTAAGATTAATGTCTTGAGAACAAGGCAGAATACGATACCATGGGTAAGAATTACCTTCGCATTCTCTTATTCCAAGGCCGTTTATCGTGGCCCCCTACTTTGGAGGAATGAAAATTACAATAATTTGAAGATGCCCTGGTTTGTTCACTCCTACCACAAAAAAATAATGGAAGACTTCACACGTACCCATATGACTCATGAATCTCTCAATTTCTTACACTGAGATACTTCTCCATCCATATGTTTTGGACTGCAACACCCAGAACCAGCCAGCAAAAACAGTGATGAGGGAGTATGGCAGTTGTGGTCCAAATCATCCAGAGGACCAAAGGTTCCACACTTCTGACCTAGTCCGACTAACAGTGAAATTCAGAAACTTTAGGTAGAGGTTGCTGATGCTCAAGATACTCAAGGTGCACAATATTAAACTTGAGATCTTAAAAAATAAATGTACAGAATTAATTGGAGGGCAAAAAATTGTAAAGTTTCCAAATCCAGCTCTTCTGTCCTCATTTTCAGGCAATAACAGCAAATTCATAAACAACTATTTTAAAAAATAATAAAATGAATTAAATATAAAGTTTGAGCTCTGCAACAAAGGTCAGCAGTCTTCTAGATTTTGCAGCTGATATGAAAAGCTTCCCAGTCCATCTGAATTTCCAAACAGCCAGGATTTAAGCCCTCTTAACTACAATCCAGTACAGTGGTGCCTCACTTAACGATTACCTCGTTAAACAATGAATCCGCTTTATGATGAGTTTTTTGCGATCGCAAAACGATGTTCCTATGGGGAAAATTCATTTAATGATGATCGGTTCCCTGCTTTGGGAACTGATTCTTTGCATTACGATGATTTCCAAACAGCTGATCGGTGGGTCGCAAAATGGCCACCCGCTGTGCAAAATGGCTCCCCGCTGATTTTCGGACGGATTCCTCACTATACAGGCACCGGAAAATGGCCGCCCTATGGAGGATCTTCGCTGCACGATGAGGTATTTCGCCCATTGGAACACACTGAAACGGTTTTCAATGTGTTTCAATGGTTTTTAAAATTTTGCTTGACGACAATTTCGCTTAACAGCGATTTGAATGGAACGGATCGTCGTCATCAAGCAAGGCACCACTGTACACCCTTACTTTTGCCTCAACAATAAAATATATAGTTTTTAAAAATCCTCAAAGCCTTTCCTTTCCTGTTTTGAGTGAGCCCTACAAGCATGTGTTCATTCCCCTTAGCAAAATCACAGGGACACAGGCCAAAAGATCATCACCTACCAGTGGCCACACAGATAGACCAGCCTTGAACACAACATGCTATAAGCAGAAGAGAAAGAAGACTGGGAGGTAAGAAAAGCACCCGCACTAAGAGCAGTGAAACAGGCAAGGTAAATATAATTCCTCCAATCATGTGGGACACTAAGCTGGTTAGACATATTTCCTGAACCCAATATTGTATATTAAAATAGCAGCTTCTGTCCCAGAAATAGGGAGTGTGAAAAAGTAGCATGTTTTAAGACTCACTGAATGCTGTCAAGCCATGTGACAAACTCATATGCGCTGCTGGTTGGTGCATAGCACTGTACGTATGATTCCGGAGCACAGTCCACGGTATTAAAAACCACCAGACTATACTGGGTACCACCATACTGCAAGAGAGGGAAGTGGGAGGAAAAGACTGGTTAGATAGCCTGAAGATGGGTAAAAAAATTTTCAGCACAGAGAACCGTATGAGCTCTGATGGTGCTGCTAATACAGCATCCAGTGTGACTATCAGCTCGACTGTCTTTGGATGAGAGAAAGTTCATTGTTTATACAGTCAATTTGCATTAATTTTTCAATGGTCAAAGATATTACCAAGGGATAACAACACTTTACAGGTGAAGACAGTCTTGAAACAATTAGGGAGAAGGTCTTCACTTAATGCCTTGCATCTCCCCTGACAAAAAAGCCTTCGTTATAGGCTGGTATGAAAAGATGAGGAACCTTTGACCCTTCAGATGTTGTAAATGTCAGCTCTGGAAGCCACAAACAACATGAATAATGGAAGGAAGGGGTTATGAGAATCTAAAAGCATCCAAAAAGTAAAGGCTTCCCAAATTTGCTTTTATAACCTGAGAATTGTAACTTGAGAATTAACTCTTAGAAAGTAATACAAGAACATGTTTGTGTATTCATAGTGTACAGCCATTTGTTAAAGCAAATGTTATTAACATATTGAGGGATTTTCTTTTTACTGTGTATTTAAACATTCCCTGTTTCCCTTATTTCCCACCATTTTACCTCTTCTCTCAAACAGCAACATGATCTAAAAATACAAATATAAACTGTAAAGAGTAATGGGTTTCATTAAAACCTCACAGTGCACAAAATGGAAGAAACCAGAATTTAAACTCACTAACAAATCTTAGTTCTTCACAACTGTACACGATCTGGGAAGTGCCAACGGAGGACTCTGAAGGCATGTGCAGGCACGACAGTGAGGACTGCAGGTTTAGGCAAACAAGCACACTTTACACCAGAGTGTATGACTGGGGTTTGTTTTCCTAAACAGCTATTAACACAACTCACCATTCACTTCACTTCAGGAATAATCAGTAACTAATTTTAGGTGGAAATGGGAGCAAAAGCTTCTAATCTGCTTTATACAGGTGCACCGGGGTGGAAGAAGGAATGGCGAAACCAAGGCTTGCCCAAACATGTCACCATGCAGCTAAATCCAATCTTATGTGAGCTGATTGCTATTTGCACCAGAGGAATTTCCCTGCTCGTTCCCCCTCCAGCTCCCATCTATCAAATCTGCTTTGGAAACTTCCCAAACACCCAGTAGGGGAACTGCAGGGAAATTTAATGTGCCAGAAATGTCTGTTCAGCTGGTGGAAGGATACTATGAGACACAACCTATAGTGCTAAAGTGTCTTTTAGTGCTACAGGCAAATGCAAGCACTGTGATTAAGACATAAAATTAACTGACAGATACACAGAAATAACTGCTTTCAGAAATAGAAGTACCAATTTGGAAATTCCTGTTTTTCTTATTCCTTACTCCAGACAAGTAGAATTTGCTTCAGAAAACTCATACAGTGGTGCCTCGCTTTACGATTGCCCCGCATTACGACAATCTTTTTGCGATCGCAAAACGATGGTCTGAATAGAGGTTTTTCGCTTTGCGATGATTGCTTCCCTGCTTCGGGAGCCGATTCTTCACAAAACGACGATTTTTGGACAGCTGATTGGCGGTTTCAAAATCTCCGCCGGGTAAATAAAATGGCTCTCCGCTGTTTTCTGGGACTGATTCCTCGCTGCACAGGCACTGAAAATGGCCGCCCTATGGAGGATCTTTGCTGGACGGTGAGTTTCCAGCCCATTGGAACGCATTGAAGGGGTTTCAATGCGTTTCAATGGGCTTTTTATTTTCGCATTACGTTTTCGTTCTACAGCGATTTCACTGGAACGAATTAACATCGTAATGCGAGGCACCACTGTAAATTCTAATTTCTTAGGCCTTGAATCTAATTCCTATGCACTTTGCAGGATGATGCTGGACATTTTCATGCTTCTCCCTCTTCCATTAATATTCCTGCTTGGGAGGAACTAAGGGCACAATTTTGGACAGAAAACAGGAAAAAATACATGTTGCTATGCAACATATGAGTACAATTTAATTATACACTCAAGATAATCCCATGAAATGTCTTATCACAAAAGGTTTACCCAAAGAGTGATGGTCTCCAGAGCCCACTCAACTTTATGCATTCATAACTAATCCCAAAACTCTGTTTGCAAACTCACATCTCCTCCAAAGTCTGTTTCAGCTGGGGGGCCACCATTAAAATACCTGAAAAAGAAATGAGCACACTCTCAGATACACAAGAGCAAGGAAAGGTTGCCCTACAATATACACACCACCAAAAATCTATTGCAGGCAGTATTTAATTACTTTAAGAAAAAAGATGTAGCGAAATCTTAGGAACACAAGCTGCCTTACATTCAGTCAGACCATTTAATGCAAGACTATAAGCTCTAACTGCAATGACTAGTTTTTTACTTTCCATTAGTCTTTCCTTGCCTTATTTAGAATCCCCTAGTAGTCTCCCAAGTCCAAACCTCTGTAGTTCTCAAAAGCTGATCAATATCACCTATGTTTAGAGTGGTATGATTCGTCACAGAATTATTTTTCATGAACCCTTTTTCCAATTTAGCCAGTCACTTTGTTTTACCACTTGTCCGCTTCCCTATACGGTATGTGTGAGCATAAACATTTTGGTCACCTTTATACTCACTTTGTTTTACCACTTGTCCGCTTCCCTTAGGGTATGTGTGAGCGTGTTTTGCATCCAATTTAGATCATGCAGCTCTTGATATCAATTAATTTTTCCTAGCTGAATACTGAAGTTTGCCTTTTCCTATATACTCTGTGACTGCATTATTTGGGATCTGGAAGATGGTAATTCTTTAAACTTGCTACTGTTCTTTTATTGCAGAAAACAGATCTAAGAGCCTACCCTATTTACAGGTTCTTTGTTCCTGTGTATTCGTACTTACACGTTGATCATTGAGGCTTAATTTCAAATTAAACTACAATATTGTTTATGTGTACTAAATACACAATCTTGTTCATTTTCACTCAAATACACTGCATCCAGTGTGTAAGAGCACACAGTGTAGCCCTCCAGATGTCATTGGACTGCCACTCCCATCATCTCTATCAGCAATACTGGCTATTGCTGATGGGGAGTTACAGTCTTAATTCATCTGAAGGTGTCAGTTTGCCTATGTCTCTCATGTGTAAATGTATGTTGGTGTGTATGCTATCCTATGCATGTTTATCTGGAAACTCTAACCAAACATCATTTTAGCAGTTTTCAAAGTGTAAGCCTGTTTCCACAGGTATAACAAAACAAAACTAAAAATACTGTGGGACTTTAAAGGCTAACAAATTTATTTCACTGTGAGCTTCTGTGGACTACAATCTACCTCCTCAGATACACAAAGTGAAATATTTAGCCATGAATGTACACTGTTGGGATAGGGAAAATTGAAAATTGAAACATTTGAACAAAAAATCTACTATACTAGGATGCTTATTAATTTACACTGTCAAAGCACCCTTCGTGTGTCTGAAGGCGAATTATAATCCTCAAAAGCCACACAGAAATAAATCTTTAAGATGCCATAATACTACTGTTTTTATTTTTGGTTTGTTACAGAAATACTATACATATATTATTATATTTTTATATAATCATGTGCCAAAAGACAATTCTAATTTACGGTGACCCTTGTCAGTGTCTTCCAAGCATAGAATATTCAGAAATGGCTTACCATTCCCTTCTTCTGTGGGTGGCCTACAGCTGTGCAGCTCGCCCAAAGCCACAGAGGCTGGCTGTACACATAGGAGGCACAGTGGGGAATAAAACTTCCAACCTCTGGCTCCTGATCTAGATACCTAAACTTCTGAGCTATCCAGTCAGCTATCATGCATATTACTTGAAACAAAAATTTTTGACAGTACTTTTCTCTGCATCATCAAAAATGTGAAACCATTCATTTTAGACATGGAAAATAAAAACCTGTTCAAATCCTCTGAGTCTATGATCATGCTATGATTGTCCAATACAAGTTGAAGCTAAAGTTTTTGCCTACTAAGACACAATTATTAGAAAACATCAATGACTTTCTTAGGTCATTATTAATTGCACCATAATGGCTGGAATGAATAATTACACTCCTTCTACAAAAGGGAACACTTTCCCATTATTCTCTTCCTCATGAGTGTCTCTTTCTGATAACAAAGCCAATGAAAGTACTGTTGCACCCTGGGGCCTTCAAACACTCACTCAATGGCAGGAAGAAGGTAATGCTTGCGCAAGGACTCGAAGTATGGCCCGAGATTGGCAGTGCCCTCGATAAGGAAGACAACATCGGCCACCATTCCCATGGGCTGAGTAGGCATGTCCAGCGTTGGCACCACCATCTCCTCCAGCTACCCACAATAAGCATGGATATACAACAACAATATGGGAACAAATTAATCACAAACTCACACCCCAAAAATGAAAATCTAAATTATGTAACATTTATTTAGAATGAAGAGAGCACTCAAGGCTGCCCAAAACACAAAATGACAGGCTTTCCAGTGAGATGTTACTATCTACATTATTTATTTATTTTATTTCTTTATTTGATTTATACCCCACCCATCTGGTCTAAAAGACCACTTATCTAAAAGACAAGTGAGGCAGAAGAAATTGGGAAAAACACTGAGAAATAAGGAACTGCTGAAGTACGTCAAATCAAGGTGGGGAAGCAGGTAAGTATTGGGCATTTTGTGTAGAACAGGTATACAAAACCTACTCCAAGTTTCTTTGACCTAGAAATTAAAAGATTCACTAGCTAGAAACAACTAGAAAATAATGGTTGTGGAGAACAAGACAGGCGTGGAATTAAGGCCACTGAGACATTTGTTTTGAGCACAATTGAGTACATGATGCTTTTATGAAAAAAAAGTACTGTTTCTCCTCATGTATTGTTTCAGAAGCCTAACCTTAGTAGGGTGGGTGCAGTTATACTAGCACACACTCTAATTTGCCTTGTCCGCACTCCCAGAAGCGAGTAAAAGAAAATATCCACCTAACTGGCTGTGTTACATTTCCTATAGTGGCCTGGTGCTCCGAGGAAGCTGAGCACACGTTCTCCCACCCTCTCTTAACTTGGCATCACCAACATCTTGTGGCAGTGAGTTCCATAAATTTATACATTTGGGGGAGGACGTTTTCATTTACCCTGAATTTAAACCCACCCACCCCAATATTCCCTAAGGGATCAAGTATCATTGAAACTCGGAAAAGAAGACGGGGAACATCACACATTATTCTGATTTCACTATAAGGGAATCCTGTTTCTGAGAAAAAAGGGGAGGGAGGTGGTAATAAGAGATCAAACTGGCAGATGACCCGTGGCCTCAGCCTCTGTTTCCCTACCACCACCCCGCTCCCCACATATCGCTCCCAGACCTTGGCTCCCCTCTCCTCCTCCCACACCCTTTTGGCCCTCGCCTATTCCCGTACCCAACGCCGACATCCGGATTCTCGGCCTTCCTTGCTCCCCAGCCAGCGGAAATGATTCCCTTCGGGTCCGCTCACGGCACGCATGCGCTCAGGATGCCAAAGCAAAATTACCCCCGCCCCTTCTCTGCGGAGTGGCAAGAACGCTGCCCTTCCCTTCCCCACCAAAGGAGTCGCTGAAGAGCCGTCCGGAGCGGAGCGGGGAGGACCGGAAAGAATCAACCGTCGTTAAAGGACAGCTGTTGCTATGGCAGCGGCGTGGCTTGTATCCCGGCATGCAGCGGGCCCTGCAATATGGAGGCGCTAAGGCTGATGAAGGGGGCAAGGAGGGGCTTTGGGCACGAGGGAGAGGAAAAGGTCCTGCCGTCTGCATAACGCGGGAAGGGAGCTGCGGGCATCAAGATGTGGGAGGAAAGAGAAGACTCGATCACCTTGCTGTGCCTCACGGCCAGTAGCGGGGTGCCCTTATATTGCAGGAGCCGGGGTGGGTCTGCCAAGCAACAGGTGAGGGGCGCTGTCGGGTCTACCCCCCCTTTTTCCCCCTTTCTCATTCTCCACTCTTGGTCCCTTTCCTCAGCCTGAGAGAGCGTTACTCGTATGCTTTGTCTCTAGCTGGAAGACCTCTGTTTGGGAAGCTGTTAGGAGGTCCTGCCAGCCTAAATAAATCGGTGGCCTGCCTGCGTGGTTTTGTGTACAGTATTTGTACACAAAGATCTCTCGTTTAGTGGTAGGGCACGTCTGTTGCAGAATATGGCAGGGTCCCTTCATGGCATCTCCAGACAAAAGACCTGCAAAATACTTTTTCTCAGTTTTTAAAATTTATTTGTTTTATTTATAGGCCGCCTTTTGCCTGATAAGGGGACCTAAGGTGCTCACAATATTAAAAAGAATAGAATTAAAAACATAGTACTTGAAACAAACCATACACTGATTAAAGTACAATTTCATAATTAAAAGCAAGTATACATAAAAAACTATCTTAACTTTAAAAAGGCATTCAGGGCCTCCAGGACTTGATGCCTTGCCAGCTAGCTTTCAGTTTTGTGTGTGATTAGTTCTTATAAGTCACCTTGAGGTTATTTGCTGAAAATACAGGATGTTCATCTATTTTTTAAAAAGAGTATGTTGCCTGAGCTGTTGCTTCAAAACCTATGCAGCTCAAACTTGACATGCATACGGAACGGACTCCAAGGGTGTATATTTACATAATTGTTTTCAGATCACATGAATTAAAATGTCTTCATGTGGCTAATGCAATTGATTCAGTGTTGTGCTTTAGTTAGATGTTAGACTACTGCAACAAGAAGATTCTAGAACTAGGATATGCTTATAAGGTGCAATTTGACATAAATCTTACTGAATAACCATGAGACTGGACTCATTCCTTTCAACCTACTGAACAACATTAGGAAAATAAGGTAGGGAGTAGGAGAACTATGTGTGTTGTCTTGAGCTCACTGGAAAAAATGTGGAATAGAATAGAAATGTAACAGATAAGTAATTGATCAGTGTTCCATTCAGATTTATACTAGTGTAATGCATACGACATACCTTTTGGAGATAAATTACTTAAAGTTAAGAAATCACCATAGATATTATCAGTTGCAGATCGAATTGTGCATCCCAATGCACAACAGGTAGTATCTACAGTGGTTTCTTAACATGAAGGAATTTGCCTCCAAAAGGTATACCTTTTGCATTATTCTTGCAGGAGCAAGTAACAGAATTTTGGACAAATAAATAATAATACCTGCAGTACCATTTTCAGTCACTAGATATCTATTATCATTCTAGTCTAGAGCTTGAAGGAGTTGTTAAGGGACAGTATTATAGAGCTGACCCAACTATCCTTCCTCTCTGATAAGCATGGAGTAGGTATATTTCTTAGGTGGCTGAAAGGGTGCATAATAACAGTGGGCATGCCTAGGGACCATACTTTAGCTAGGCATGACAGAAACAATGTGCATCTTTTCTTGAAGTTTTTGCTGTAACTCATGTAGAATTGAGTCCTTTCACTAGTGACATGTAAGAGGTTTAGTATAATTTTGGTACCCTGAGATCCATAGACCACCTTTAAAAAGAAGAGCTTAAAAAAAAAGTAAGCAAGGGCTGGACATGGTCACTAGCCAGAAAAATGTTGTGTGTGGATGGGAAAGGTGGGATGGAGTGGTGAGAAAGTAGGATTCCCTGCTTGGAAAGAATAGTTGGCTGGAACCAGGGGCAGGAACACCATTATTAGGAGGAAGGACACATGGCAACATATTGTGTTGGTTCTCTTTGGTGTATGAATGTTCCTGCCACAGTCATGAGACACAGAAATTACTGCAGAAACTACTCATCCCTAGTAAACTGAATGAGGGTGAAGAAGATGATGGCTGTAAAGCAGTTTGTGTAACAGAAGTTTAATAAGTTATGGAAGCTGAACCATGGGTTAATAGTGGTAGAGTATGAGATTTGGGTGCAGAGTAGCTTGGGCACAAAGTTTTGCATTTCCTTTTGAAAGACCTGACAGAGGGGGTTAGGGACCCTTGTACTGTAGTGTTCAGGAAACAGCTACTAAAGTCTCCTCCTCCTTCCTCAGCTCCCCTTCTCTGTGATTGGCTCCCTTAATGGGGTTCATATGTTTGGCTCCAACCTGGGTGTTCTGCTGACAGCTGCCTGTACAGAGAATACTCGAGTGATGTGGAAAGTTTTCCACAACAGGTAAGCAAGTAATCAGGCTGATTTATTTCTTAAGAAATGCTGTGTGAGTGATCCATGTCTTTAGTTGTCGGTGTGTAGCGGAGCTACTTTGTTACTAATATCTAGCATTTCTAGGAAGGTAACCAGTTTAGTGTGTAACAACACAAATAACATCAGAAGCATTTCATGGAATGAATGAGCTGCAGTCTGTGAAAGCTTATGCCAGATAAAGCTTTTCTTGCTCAGCAGGCTGAGGCAAAGAGGCAGTCGCAAAACCATGGAGCTGGACAGGGGACAGATTGTATTTGTCTTCAGTATGGAAGGGATTGTCACTCTCGAATTGACCTTCTCAGCCACACTAGATGCTGTTCCAAGACCTCCATTCAGAGCACATTACCATAGTCTCTTGAGACTGAAGGATGCCTTCTACTATGTCACATAAAGCTTTAAGTACAATTAAAGTATTTGTTGTATTTATTGATACCTAGTGAGGGACAAGCTGTGTAACAGTTGTTGTTGATCTAGTAAGCTTCAGAGGATTATTAAGTTTCTTTGAAAATCTACAAAATGTGGGATGGAAGATTGCAGTTCTTTTCCATTGCAAAGATGTTGCACTTCTAATGAATTTACTTTCATGCTGTCTCACAGACACACACACACACACATACAGCCTTCCAATCTACTTACCTTTGCATTCTGTGTTTGATGTTGTCAGCATCACACTAATTGTGCTGTCTTCGGATGAAAGTACCAGTGAGCTCAGCCTTGGAAAACTCCTTGAGAATGTCTTCAGTGCCATGGTGAGGAGTCAAAAATGATAGGATGACATTTCAGAGTCTGTAAAAAGAAGGTTGGGAGGGAAGCCCAATCTCTGTATGGTTTATTTTATAGAACCGCATCTTTGTAAAGCTGACTAACGTTTTATATGGAGAAGCTACTACCCTTTGTTAGCAATGGGTTTTGTGAGATATGTCTGGAGTTGCTATTGATCCTAGATAATTACAATTTAAAAATCTTTATAGTGCTGTTGTATTAAAGCAGAAGATGGGAAATTCCCACCTTCCAGCTGCCGTGTCTCACCCAAACTCTACTTTCCAAGAATTCTTATTTCCTAGCTGCCTCCCTGCTCAACCTTCTGAACCTCTTATTCCAAGTTTGTTTACTTCTTGTATATTCTTTTGTGCTCTAGCACACTTTGGCTATTTTTTTTTTTTGCACTTGCAATTAAGTATGATATTAAGGTGGATTGAGAGAGGAGTGCGGACCTTTTCAGTAGTAGATGGGATAGAGATTCTAGATTGCATTGTAATTATTAACTGTATCTGAGGTGGGATAGATTTTATGATAGAAAAGCTGAGGAAGTGGGATTGAGTTTGATGCCAGAAAATCTGAGTTATCACTCCTTGAAATCAGTCAGACACCTCTTTGACTTTTGCAAGAACTGGCTTCTGTGCACCTGTGTGGTATGGTGAAGGCATCTTATTTGGCAAATGGGGTAATCAGAGGGTCTGTGCATGACTTGGGACAGAGCTCATGTGATTTTACTGCAGGTGCTGATACTTGGCTTGGAGGAATTAGTAAATGCACGCAACATTGAACGGCTCAAAAAAGATCTGAAGGTAACAACTTACCCAAGAGCAGTTAAACCACTGGGGAGGGCAGATTGTGGGATCCAGTCATACGTCTTAGAGATAGTTTTGTCTGCTCTCCTCTTTTCCTGTCTCTTTGGTGCATTGAGTTGGCTTTTTAAAAAATACCAAATTTTAACAACAGAGGTATCTTTGGGGGTTTGCTGTGAAGGCCCATTTCTCTAGCCCAAGCTAAGGGAGAGTATATTATTCAAAGAAACAGTTGGTGACAAGAAGTTCTTAAGTACAGTGGTGCTTTGGAAGACAAATGTAATTTGTTCCATGAGTAGCGCTGTCTTGCAAAATTTTTGTCTTGCGAAAAGTGGTTTCCCATAGGGAAACCTCACAAGATGAATGAATTATTTTCGTCTTGCAAGGCATCGGGCTTGGGGGGGAAAAACATCATCTTGCAAATTACGGCCATAGAAGAAGCTGTCTTTTGAGGCACCACAGCAATCGCAAAATCCATTCGTCTTGCGGTTTTTTCATCCCACGATGCGTTAGTCTTGCGAGGCACCACTATAGATGTTCATGAAACTGTTTTCATTATCTGATCTTAATATTTGGGAGTAGAGTTTTTCTTGTATCCTAGGTAATTTAAAGATGAATTATACCACCCTCTAGGCATGCTACAAACTGATTGACAGTTTCTTGGAGCCAGGCAAAGGGGCAGCTGACTTGACTCAATGTGTGGAATGTGCTATGACACCCTCCAGGGAGATTCTGCAGGTGACTAACCTGTTTATTTCTTCTCTTCAGTGGGTTGTAAGAGTCTTTCTTTTTCTCTGGGCTATTCCCAATAGGTCAAAAAACATGCCAAATTGAGGGACGGCAGGAAAAACAGGACTAACATGCATTTATCACCCATATGAAGCTTCAGCAGTTGTTCTCGAACTTCTTTCGTTTTGACTTGGTTTCTATGGTCTCTGACCTCTCCACCTCCTGTTGATATGAAATAGCCCCTATGAAATAGACAAAAGTTTAGGGAAAAATGTTTCATGTTCATTACTTTTTTCAAGGCTCACCGGAAATCTGGGATCCAAAGGAGGTCGGAATCTTTGTCCTCTTGAAGGGGGGAGGGGTGGGTCTATTTTGGGTTATTTTTTTCTCTTTATTTCATACTTTGTTGTAGTTTGTCTGAATGAGAGATGTTTTGTATTCATATGTTTAAATAAAATAAAATATAAAAAAAAGAAATAAAAAAGAAAAAGAAATAGCCCCTTGAAGGCAGGGGTTTGTTGTTCTGACTTTTCTCCCTGTTTCTTAAAACTATGATTATCTCTCTGCTTTTATAACACTCTGTATCTGCATTTGAACAATGGCAATTTCCAACTAAAGGAAAGGCCCACCAACATGGGTGAAAATCGGCCCTCCAGGTGTTGTTGATGAGGGCTGAACCTGGTCAGTCATCTTATTCTAGTGTGAATAGCCCTGGCAGCAATGGGCAGAGCACCCGTAGCTTGAGAGAAAGCAAATAATCTTGCTTTGGCAATCTGTTTCTTTGAAACAATCACAGGACCACCTGGAACTCAGTGCTGTGACACTTGTGGATATGTTGGATAGTTCTAGCTGGTAGACGGTGCATTTATAGTTGGGGTGTGTGTGTGCATGCGCACTGACAAACCTCTTTGTTTCCTGTCCAGGAATGCTTGGAAGCCTTTGCCTCGGCAGCGCAGTCACGCTTTGGCAGCCTGCTAGTGGGCAGCCGGGTGCTGTGTGCAACAGAGCAGTGGTGGCAGCTGGCCGCCCCCGAGGCCATGCTGCTGGTGTGGCTAGTGCAAGCACTTCCTCCCCACACCTCCCGCGATCTGCCCGTATACCTTCCTCATGGCAGTCCCACGGTGAGCAGATTCATGACTGGAGAGGGTAGCGACACCTCCAAGGGACCTTTCCTGTCTTCCTCATTTTCCGTGTTGCTTGCTCTCAACAGGTTCCTCACCGACTCCTGACCTTCCAACTTGTGCCTGGCTTGGAAGTGCTCTTGCTGTGTGGGCCCAGCCCTTCTTTACAATGCCTAGCTGATGAGGTGAGGTCCTGGTTTTTAGGTAGGAAAGAGCAGCTGAGGGTGTGAATATGTTTTACTTCCTTGAAGACCCCAGCACCTGTGCCTACAAAGCCCTGATGATAAGAGTGTTGTGTCAGCCCTCCTACTACCACTAGCTTGCATGGGACACTCCTAGAGGGAAGCAGACTTAAGGTTACTCCTTCTTTAAGGCATGTGAAAACTGGCCAGGCTGCTGCTGGTCGCTCCAGGGACCTACAACTGTGAACTGCTACCAGACCTTCTTTCTTTCCATAGCTAGTGAAGCAGTTTTGGCAACCACTCCTAGATCTTTTGAAGGCAAGTGCCAGAGCCCCTCCTCACTGCTTACTCCCTGGCATCTCTCTTGACCCCGGGATCCTGGGGTGAGTTCTCACAAATGTCTGGGATGGGGAGCATTTTTGTTTTTATGATTTTTTAAATTTTATTTTTTATTTTTAAAAACTAGGGATAAGGTAAAGGAGTACAAAAGGTAAAGGGGGATGGGGGAAAAGAAGGGGGAGGAGAACACAAAATGTACTGTCATGGGAAGGGGGACATTTTTGAAGAACTAAGCCCCTGAGGGAGTGGGGCTGTGTGTTTATCCCACCACATTTTTATATTTACTTCCAGTTCTGAGTATTACGCTCTCTGCTTTGCCATTTACAAACTCCTCTTCTGTAGATTGTTGCTGATCAAGCAAGAGCCAAGGAAAAGCCTCTTCACAGTGGAGCCTCATGGTACCTGCACTGAAGGTACAGCTCAAGGTATTTTTGCATAAAGGAAAAATATAAAAGATACCAAATCCTTTGTTCTAGTCAGTTTAGGTTATCTAAGCTTAACAAGAAATTTCAGGGGCTGCAAGATTTCTTGTCTCCAGGGGAAGAATGAAATAAGAAATGTGATATTTTCTTATCAGAGACTTTGCAATTTCACTTTGACAAGCAAAGTACATACACGCAGCAAGCACAGGACTGGCTGATTATGAAGAACACCACAAACGGTTCTGATGCTTCTCATCCTTAATTGCCTGTGTAACAAAGCGGCAGCCACCATTGTTTTGTGCAACTTTGCTTGTTTTTTTTTAATCCTCTTTCTTCTCATTCTGTTCTTGAACATACGAGAAAATGTCTCACCTTCTCATGGGGCCAAGAGAATGATTTTTTTCCAGCTCCATAGCCTTGAATATGAGGACGAGAAAAAGGAGGGTTTATGTTTCTGCTGGGGAAAGTAAATGAGCACAATCCTTTCTCACTCGGTGCTTTTTAAAAGAAACCCAGGAAATCTATGAATTATATAAATCATTTAAACATGTGTAAAGTCTGCTGAGTTGTGTAGGAAGGTAGGCAACTGGTCAGACTTTCATGGCCAGTTCTAACTCGCCACAGGCATTTCTCCTAGTCCACCTCATCCCTTTTCTTCTCCTATAGGGTCTGAGATGCCCTCACAGGGTCGGCTCTTTGCTCTCCGCTCTTTCTATGCCTTCGCTACCTCAATGTACTTTCCTTCAGAAAAGCCAGAAGAGAGCACAGGTGTGTTACAAAAAGCATTTCCTTTCAGACATCTATGGCTCCTGTTACTTCAATTTATTCTCAAATTTGTAAAATTAAAGTAGTACAGTATTTGCATATCAAAACACAGCTGAATGTTTAGGTTTGTGTATCAGTTTGAAATCTTTAGGAGGGACACACAGTTGGGCATTTTTGGAGTTACTACAACCCTGAAAACTAACCGTCTCATTTGTTCCTTAGCTGCTTTGCAGGAGGAATTCCAGGCTGGCTTCTCCCACTCTCCTCAGCACTGCTATGTAGTGTACACTACGCACAAGGCCTATGCTATCCATGGGAAGCGGCATCAATTGTTCCTGCTTCTGAAGCCAGCTGTGCCTACCTTTGCTCTACGGACTCTGGCAACCAGTACGTTGCAGGCTCTTACAGCTGGGGACTCAGCCTTCTGAAGGCACCTATCAACTTTCAGAGATGAAAACTGAGAGTAATGTGATGGGATCCCTGAATGTTCTAGGCAAGCTGTGATTACCCTGCAGTGCAACAGAGCCTGTGGAGGAACTTTTCAAAGAGGAGACATTCTATCATAATTCTGGCTTTTATTTTGAGGGGAGGCAATCTGACAAAAGATGGTGGGCTACCATTTTTTGGCCTCTCATCTCTCCTTCTTTCCCCTTTCTAAAAAAAAGCAAACAGAATTTTGGTATGAATTGTTCTCAGAATGCATATGCATTAAGGATGGGATATGGGTTAAATTATCATACCCAGAAGAGGTTATTATATCTGAATCAGAGGACAGTTGGGATCACCCTTCAACTAAAGCTGAGGCATTGAGAGTGTGAGAAAGCAGGCTTTCCATTTAGGTGCAACTCTGCACATCTCTTATGTTGGACATGTTGTGCCACCATGGAATGTTTTAGTTGCTGAAACTGTTACTGCCCACTATGTGTAGTGTTGCACATTTGCTTCAGCTCTTATATTCCCATGACAATAGTTTACTTCACATGTCCCGGTTTCTGCTGAGAATTGTTCTTCCATCCTGTTAAGCAGTACAACACAGCACCTTTTGAGGTTCCCGCTAGCACAGTGCTGTTTAGAAATAGTAAAACAAACTCACAATTGTGAAAAGGTTGTGTTGCACTGGCTAAAACTGATCTGGGAAATTTTCAACTTGAATTGTGCTTTAGTTATGCAAGCCATTCTCTCTCCACTGAACTCACTGAAATAATTCTACCGTGTTTCCCCAAAAATAAGACAGGGTCTTATATTAATTTTGGCTCCAAAAAAACACATTAGGGCTTATTTTCAGAGGATGTTTTATTTTACAGTCATGTCATCATCTTCTGGTTGCTGCACAATGCTGGAGGGTGGGGTTTCACTTAACTAGGTCTTATTTTTGGGGTAGGGCTTATATTTCGAGCATCCTGAAAAATCATACTAGGGCTTATTTTCACGTTAGGTCTTATTTTCAGGGAAACAGGGTAGGATACCTTACACAGCTATTGTAAGTATCAGTGAAGTAATGCAGAAACTATTTTGAGTACTGTAAGGCACTATATATATAATACTAAATCTCCAGACTGTCTGCAATAATTTATCAGGGATTAATAGAATTAATTTTGATACTATCTATATTCCTATGTACAGTTCTTTGAGAATCGTGTAACCAACAGCTCAGACTATTTTCAGTACATCAGAAACACAGGTCTAGGGTACTCCTTTTCAACCTGGAACAGCTGGAAAACATCCAGACAGCTAAATTGAAACTGTTCTGGAAGATGGCATGATTGATGATGCACAAATCAGCTTGAAAATGGCATTTCTATAAGAGTGCCTTGGAGAATCAAAGCAAATTTGCTTCTGTACTTCAAAGCATCTCCCTTTATGAACCTGCTCGAGTGTTAAGATCATCAGGAGAGGACTTCCTCTCGGTCCCTCCACCTTCACAGGTGCACTTGGTGGGAACACGGAAGAGGGTCTTCTCTGTTACCGCTCCCAGACTTTGGAACTCCCTCCCACTGCAGGCCAGGCTGGCACCCTTTTTACTATCCTCCCAGCAGCAGATGAAAACCTTTCTTTTCAGGCAAGCATTCCCTGAGTGACTGGTTGGTTGAGTGGGTATTTTTTAATGGATGGCTGAACTTTACCGCTTTGAATGTGTTTGGTGTTGCTTATGTTTTTTAGTATATGTTTGAGCCTTTTTGTATTTTTATACTCTGTGCTTTAGTTTTAAATACTGTCTTTTCATGATATAAGTTACCTTGGGTCCTTTTAAAGACGAAAGGCAGGGTAAATGTATTTTTAATAAATAATAAATCCTAACTGAGGGAAAGGTCACTGAATGAAGGGGGGAAAATGGTTACCACAGGCAAGTGGGTCCCAACCTTGGGAAACCCTGGTGTTCCAGGACTGCAACTGCCATAGACACTGGCCAGCACAGCTGGTGGTGAAGGCTTCTGGGAATTGCAGTCTAAGAACACTTGAGTTATCCAAGGCTGGGAATCATTGCCCTAGGCTATTGCTACAGTGATTCTTAGAAGTTGGAAACCTCACATTATGGACCACTGCTCCCAGAATCTCCATGGACAGCACAGCTACTGGCAAGGTTTTTTAAAGTTCTGCTCCCAGATGCACTCTTTGGCCCAGCCCAGAATCCCATTCTGCATGGCTAGGAGCAACCAGGTAATACAGATATTCTTATCAGATTGTAGTGAAATGGAGCAGCTACAGAATGATGACGGACAATGATGGATAATGATTTTCCCCCTTCTACTGCCACTCTATATACAAAATGCTAATAGGCAAAGATGTAACTGAAAATATATTCCAGGGATTGAGTCATGCAGTTTTTGATGCATGTAAAGTAACTGTACTACATTTGTCACTTATGTGGCAGACAAAACCGCCGTCTTGTATTTTGCTCAGAAGACATGCTGAACAGCTGAAATGCAGTGAAGTCAGATCACACAGATGCCTGTAGGAGAAAAGCTTGTCTGGCAGTTTGTATATATAAGACTGTGTGCATTTGTATCAATATTTTGGTTTGAAAAAGAGATTCCGACATGATTTCAAGCTTAAGCTTTTAGCCTCGAACTCAGACAAATCACGGTCAATCCATAAAATATACAAGGAAAAAAAGGTAGGGCCCTGAAGGCTATACAGAAGAGGTATGTGAAAACCTTTTGTTCGCATAGACCATATTGCCTTTTCTTCAATATTTCCTAGCCTTAACACTGTTCTTGAGCCATATTCGGCACCTTTTGATTTCCACAAAGCCTCTAAATGTGGTGCTCAAAATAAGAGGCATGCAAATCAAATACCTTTATCTAGATAAATAGCATAATACACACCACAGAACTGGGAGACATTCTTGTTACAGAATTCAACACACATAAGAACTTGCAAGCCCTCAAGAAGCAAAAGTGGTCTCTTTTGCTTTGATCAATCCTTTCCCCATTGGTTTACACTCTTCAAAAAAAGGAGAGATTACCAAGTCTTCTGGGAGGTCTAGTAGACCTTGTGGACTGGAACTGCCTCTCCACATCATTCAAAGACCTGGAGTATCTAGAAAGTAATGCTGTGCTCACAAACAACAGCAAAATTGATGCACTCAGCTTCAAAGTACTGTATTGCAATCTTCTTTGGAAATCTATGGTGTTCTAATTCCCTGCGTCTTGACAGGTGCCAGAACAAGCTGTCCTATGTAGGGGCTCCAACTGAACCAGCTTCTTACGTGGCTTGAAGCGGCTGTACAACAAACACTAGAATCTGCCTTGAAAATCCACAGTTGTCCAGAGATGGCTGTGTCTCTGCTTCAAGTGAAGGACCCCTGTCCTCCCGCCCTACCTCGTTTATCCACATACAAAGAGCAGCACACAACAAGTCAGTCAGCAGTGTGGGGGTGACCCAGCCTGGCTTGATTCTGGCTTTCCCCTGCCCTCACGGCTTTATTAGAGTCACATGGAGATAAGATACAGGCATTCAAAACCCAGATAAACTAAGATGCGCTAGATAACACCTACACAGCAGAGTAACATGGAGCCCGGGCCAGCATGGGAAGCTGGGACACCCCCAAACTAGCATGAACTGAACCCTGCCCCACCTCTTCTTCAAATCCATGGAAGGCAGCATTCCAGAATTAGTCTCCCCAAATCTCGGAGCTGTTTGAGGATCCGATTAAATACCCTTTTCTTGGAGGAGAGGGAGTCAAGAGAGGATTAGACAGGCTTTTTGTCCCCCACAATCCTCTCCATCTTTGTGCAGTTTTCCTTCTAGAGGGGAGGAAGGGGGAGAAAGGCCTGCTCTTGAGTAATTTTACTTTCCCACAAACACAACTATAACACTGGAATGGTCCTTGACAAAGGAAAAGGGAGAATTCAACCCCCCACCCCACCCCAGGGAAATACACTGGGCAAAGAAATGGAAACAACTTCCTACAAGCATTTACACATACACACACGCACACACCTCATTCCTCCCCCCAGCCAGCTCAGGGGGAGGCAGGGTAAGTGACATGAATACTCTGTCTCCCCAACAGGAAGGGCAAAGGCCATGGGTGGGAAAGTATGGGAAAGTAACTGTAAACAAAACTGAAATGCCAGCCAAAATCATACAGAAGGGATGGGGCGGGAATTAAGACCACAGATCTCGGCCTCATCCTGAATCAAAACAGAACAGGCTAATGGGGTGGAAAAGGACCTGGCTTTCTTCCAGAGGCCACCCTCCTGCCAAAGGGAAGATTAATTCCTGGAAGAACACCCTACATCGAGACAAGTCACCCCTCCCCCAAATTCTACTTCAGCCCTCCCGGGGACCACAGTTTTGCTCTCCCCCCCTTGCTTACCCCCTTGGTGCTGGCCCGGGCTAGGCAATGAGAACACAGAGGTTATCACGACAACAGGCAGGGAGCAGTACAGTCTTTCTGGAGGCCCCTGGTGTGGAGGGAGGTGGGAGGGGACGGACAGAGGCATCCTCGCATGTGCAGGAAGAACCTTCCCCGCCCTCCTTCCTCCAGTGTGGCCAATGCCTCAGAACTGCTGAGAGAGCAGCTCACAAAGGTGCTTCGAAACAGACTCCTTGCTGGTACGGAGGGTCAGCCGGTACATCTGTAGGGAGGAGGGAGGGAGACAATTAAGCCGCTGTGCCCAAACAATCTTTGATTTTAGTTTCATTATCAAAAGACCCTTTTGGGGGGGGGAGGAGCTGGGATGGAGAACTTTCAACTCCTCTCCAGTTTCATCTCCTCCCCTGCCCCTTCTCTAGAGAACCCGGCCCTCCTGATAGTCACTACTCTCTCATTACAGTGCCCCCCCACCCGCTCCTGCCCTCCCCGTCTCCACTCCTTTCCTATTGGTCAAGCTTCCACCTGCGCCTCTTTATAGCAGAGGCACCTGGAGCCTTTGCTGCCTCACCTGTGCCTGGGCGTTGGGCTCCAGCCGCAGCAAGCATCCCACCTGCAGCGCCTTCGTCTGAATGATCCCAGCTCCCACATAGTTATCAGGGTTTGGATCCACCTTGTCCAAGAGTGCACTGCCAAAACCTAATAGCTAAAAGAAGGAGAGATCAGTGTTTAGATGGGCTGGCTGCCTTAGAAGCCAGAGAGAATCCTGCAGCCTGTGCCCGTCATAAGGAAATGAGTCAGGCTAAAGACAGACAAAAGGAAGAAAGCAAGACCTCTGCAACATAATTCAAGGACTTCAGTACCATCCTCAGCTGTACTATCTTCCAACAGAACAATCTAAATATGGATGCTCCTGAAATAGGGCATTTATACCCTATTTACTAAGGCCCTCTTCAAGTCCTATTATCTGTTGTTTATCCCCCTATTGTCTGTCGTTTATCCCCCTCTTCTCATAAAGGGAGAGGGGAATCAAATTATTTAATAGCCTTAAAGAAGAGGTACATAAAGTGCCAGACCACTTTTCGGAAATCTATTTCAGTTCAACCTGAAGTGTATTTAAAAGTGAAAGATTCAGTTCCACTAAGCGTAAGGAGATTGAATCCCAGGTAAGTGGACAAAGGACTACAGCAGGGAAGTAGCTCCTCTTTATGTTCATTGGAGTTTACTGCCAGCTAAGCACATGTAGAATTGCAAGCTTGTTGAAAAGGTTACATTTCCCATTTAAACCCGAGAAGATGAAAACCTATTGAAGCTGAGAACAGAGGAAAAATAACAGAATTATCAACACAGTTAATGATAATGTTAAGGAGACCCCATACCTGTTGGCAAATAAATTAGCAATTTGGCAACAGTTTTGCTGTGTTTATTTTTAAAGAAAATAAATGGTCAAATAAATTTATGTATTGCTAAATCCACAGGAATGATACCTTTGTAAGGATTATGGGGTACAGGTGAAATGTCTAACGTAAGACTCTGCTCCACTGACTGTCAACAAGATTCTGGCTGAAGTCTTTCTCTCAGTTCTACTGACTAACTTAGGAACAAATTTTAATATACACAAGTAAATCTTTAGCTCACTAGTGGCACCAAGTAACTTAAGCTTATTACTTTCTTCCAAGCAGATTGCGGGAGGTGTGGTAGATAAAGGCATAAGAAAGTTGGCTCACCTTGGCCTTAGTAACTTCTGAATCCATGGGATGGTTTGCCTTGAAGATTTTCTGAGCTTCCTGCTGTGGCCTGCAAGGGACACAGAGGACATTAAATTGTTGATTCAGTACCTACTTTTCTCTTTCTCAGCCAGCACTCATAGAAGCCTGTTGTGTTCGCTTGCACACCTCCACCACTCACTAGGCACCAAACAGGCTCTTGAGACAGGGGAACCATCTTAATGTGCCCCGGGCCACATCAAAACAATCTTCAGGTCAATGGTGCCAGATGACAAATTCGGTGCACCAGCCAGAGGATGCCTCTCCTAAGCTTGACATTTTGCTAGGCTGTGAGTAGCATCTAGGCAAGGTGTCGACTCACTATGGCCTGTAAGACACAGGCAGTCCTCAAGGCTGTTTTTGCAGCCTCTACCTAAACAAATGTTTAGAAGAAAGAAAGAAAAGAGGTCATTTTTGCCTCTGGAGGCGTCATGCAGCAGACCAGAGAAAGCAGACCTTTCTCTTCAGGCAAGCTTTCCCTGAGTGCCTGGCTGCCTGAGTGGGGTTTTCAAATGGATTGTTATAGCTTACAGCTTTGACTGTGTTTCGGTGTTGCTTTTGTTTACTATTTTTTAGTAGGGTATTGATCTGATCGTTTTTAGTATTTGTATACTCATTGCTGTTAGCTCTAAATTCTCTTTATTATGTTATTTGTATACTCACTGCTGTTAGCTCTAAATTCTCTTAATTATGCAAGAGGGACCCAACTTGTTTTAGAAAGATGTGGGATATGTGTGTGCAAAAGCAGGGGAAAGAACAGCATAACTACTCAGGAAGGTCCCCCCTTCGACCCATCCCTCATGACCCTCTGGGTCTTTTGATTTAGAGTGAGATATAAATAACTAAATCAATAATAAAACAATATATGCAAAATAAATTGTCATTTAACTGCTCGGCCCAAATGTTGATGCATTTGCCCAAACTCCTATTCCTATAGCCCACTTACAGGCTGAGCTGTTTCCAACGCTGGAAAAAATCTTGTGATTGCATCTCTGTTGCCTGGAAAAATTTGTTGACCGTTATGGGCAATTTGAGGGTGAGGTTCTGCAGCGTCCCACCATACCTGGATGAAATGAGAAGAGGAAGGAGAGAGAAAAAGACATGAAGATGGCAGGGAGAGGTACACCGCTGCATAACCTCAGGCACCACGGTGTCTCGCTACCACAAGATGTCACAATGGCCACCACCTTTGGAACTATTCAAAGGGGACTAGAGAAAGTCACAGAGGATTATGCAACCAGTGGTTGCTAATTATGATGACTATAGATAGTAGGACACTCATATCCATGAGATCAGTATTTACAGTTTCACTCATCTGCAGCCTGAAAATATTAAAAATATTAAAAGAAAAACCCAGAAATATTTATTTCCACAATGTATTTACCAGAACTGGCCACCAGAGGAAGCCAGAGATCATGCTATTTCTAGAGATTGCTATAACGTAAAAGTAAAGGTTCCCCTTGACAATTTTTTTGGTCCAGTCGTGTTTGACTCTAGGGGGCGGTGCTCATCCTCGTTTCCAAGCCATAGAGCCAGCGTTTGTCCAAAGACAATCTTTCCGTGGTCACATGGCCAGTGCGACTTAGATACGGAACGCTGTTACCTTCCCACCAAGGTGGTCCCTATTTATCTACTTGCATTTGCATGCTTTCGAACCGCTAGGTTGGCGGGATGAGTTTGCTATAGAAATACCTATTTCCATGATGTATTTCCCAGAACTGTCCACTAGATGGAGCCACATACAGCACCATGTATAGGGTTCACCATCCATGAGTTTTTGGCATCTGCGGAGGGGCTTGGAACTGATCTCTCACAGATATGGGGGTCCTACCGTACTGCCCAGCAATGGAAGCAATATGCTTCTCAGTATTAGTTGGGATGCCCGACAATAGGCATTTCATTTAATCTGGCAGGGATCTTATGTTGTTCTGTCTCTTTCATGTGAATCAGAACATCGCCAATCTTTAGCCCACCTGGTGTGGGGGAATGGCCCACATTCTGAAATTAGATGGGGCTCCCAGTGTTTCAATCATCACTTGGCTGTTCCTTTAGGTCTTTCCTTACTTTCAATGTTTCCAGTTTTCCCTTCCTTTTAATTAATCGTTTCTGCTGTTTTTAGTTGTGCCTCTATTGGTGTAAACTGATTTTGAGATTTTTAGATTCATAAAAATTCTGTTAACAGTAAAAGCAAAGGGTGTAGCAAAGCTAAACTCTGGCCCAATAAAAGGATGATCACCTGTCTCCCTGTTATAATATATAATTGGCAGGGGACTAAAACTCATTGAGAAAATGTGGTCCAAGGAAAGACTGGGGAGTCTTTGTTAATTTTTGGTGATTTTTTGATTTTTCCCTCATTGAGAAGCATTGGACGTCCAATGAAGGTAAGTATAGATACATCAGGACACAAAAGAATAATATTGGAAACATATCTTGTTCAGCTTTGCCCATATCCAGAATTTAAACATTATTCATGACCCTGAAGCCCAGAATAAGAGCAATTTTCCATGGTTATTCCCTTTGGCTTGACACACCCCTTCCTCCAATTTTTTTTGGCAATGTAACCTGAAGCTCTGTCAGGTTCAAATGGTTAGAAGATTCTGCACCAATATATCCTATTCCAATGTATTTTGGAATACCCTGCATCACCCATATGGCAAAATAAATAAATGAACAAATAATCCTTGATAGTCTGGCATGTTGTGCAACGGTACCGGAATTTTATGTTGATGAGAGGAGCCTCCGTGAAGTCGCTCAGGCACTCAATGTTCAGAACCTGTTGAACTTGAGCACCTCCCTCTACCAGTGGCTCGACCGCTTTTGTTTGGATGTTGAGCTGTGAGCTGTGCTAAGGAACGGGACAATAACCTCACAAAGGAGTGAAAGAAAGAAAAAAAATCTGAATATTCAGAGCCCATACGAACAAAGTCATTCTCCCCCACTTATGTACGTTCATGAAAGGATATGGCTCTGCAGGTCCCCTGGATAGCTGACCATAGGGGTGAAGCTCTGGAACTGGACTGACGTTTTGTTCCCATAGAAGAGATACATCCGGCCTGGAGGAGTGGAGAAGAGTGTTTTATGGTACAGAGTTTATCATGTCCTACTCAGCTCCCTATTCTCTGGCTGGTACAAAATTAAAAGGAATATGTCCAGACCAGTGGTTCCCAACCTTGAGCCCCAAGATGTTCTTGGACTGCAACTCCCAGATGCCTTCACCACAAGCTGTGCTGGCATGGCTTCTGGGAGTTGTAGTTCAAAAACGCCTGGGGACCCAAGGTCGGGAACCACTGGTCTAGACAAGTGAGAAAAATACAGGGACAAACTCCTCAGCTGCATTCGGCTCCCTCTCTCTCTGCAGGTCTCACGGGGTCACGTCCCTCTCCACAAGGGACTGTGGGAGTTGCAGTTTAAAAGCAAATAGAGGGCCACAGTTTCTTACCTTGTTGTAAGCCAAAATTAGGGAATCTTTGTTCTATAGAGAACCACACTGCCTTCAGAATTATCTGTCAAAGTTTCCATCTTGGCGATGGGCAGAGCTGGTAAAGTACTCCCTTTCTTTGTGTCTCCTCAATCTCTCTCTCTCTCTCTGCCACTGGCTTTTCATTTTTCTCATGGTTCCTCTCATTCCCTTTTATCTCTTCCCCACCATCCACAAGGAATTAGGCTTATTTCTATTTCCTTCATGCAAAGAAAGCCATGACGTTCCGTGTTTCTCTCAGACACAGAACAAATCCATTCACACAGTTATTGCCATCCCTCTGGACAGCAATGGTGCGTAAAGGGATCCTTGCCCTTTCAGCATCCGATCTGCAGGGAGGGGTGGAACCTTGCTGTTATTTTTAGTTGGAGATGACCACCCTGGAAGTAACAGCATGATCCTCACCCACCCACCATGTACCACTTGCCTTCATGCTGCCAAGACTAGCATCACTCAGAGAAATCAATCCTATTTTAGAGGCTGGGGTTTTGGAGAGGGAGACTTTCATCAGGCAATACCAGAGCTGTCGTGGTCTGCTTTCCCTCCCCTGCCACAGGCTGAAAACCCCACCATGTATGCCTCCCACTCTTCGTCAAAAAAAAAAAAAAAAAGATGCATGCTTGCTGACAACATTCATCTCTTCCAGAGAAGACATGAATGTGTTGCGATAAAAGCAAGCTCATAGAAATGAGAAGGCCAGATTCTTAATACACAGACCTTTGGGGAGTATAGCACTGGCCCCAACCTGTCCAGAAACACTCACCCAAATTCTGCCGGAACTCTGACTTCACCCCGATTTGCAGCAGCTGGTTCTCAAAGAGCACCCCATTATTCTTACACACAAACCTGCAAGAGATCATCCAGGGTTGAGTGGAGGCTGGGGTGGGGAAGACATGGCACACTTCTGGCTATTCTTCTCGTGCTGGCTCACCATGTCAACAGCCTCCCCGCCCCACAATTTCTGCTGGTGCTCATACCATTTGACATCCAGCAAGCCAACTCCTCCTAGGAACATTTAAGATCCAGGACCATCTCCACATCCTACTAGGTCGATGCACTCTCTGCTACAATTTCAGGGGAGGCTTTTCTCTTCTCAGTCCCCATAGCTTGGAGTACTTTGTGGTGCGTGGTGGTAAGAGTATGGGATGAGGACTGCAGAGAACTCAGCTCAAATCCCTACCTCAATCATGAAGATCAAAAAGAAAGGCAGGACAAAAATCTAATTAATGAATGGGAGTCAAACTGCAGGACATAGCAAAGGATGGTAGTGGCTGAAGCAATTAGCACAAGTGGGATCAGGCTGGTGCATCAGAAGGCAGCCTCCTTGACTGCCAAGGAACAGCTGCTTTTAAGCCGCCACCACCCACTCTCCACCCCATCTGAAGCCCCAGTGCCTAAGAGTTACAGCCCTACCCCAGGATCTTACTTGTGAAGCAGTTCATCGGCTTCAGGAATAGGCAAAGCAGGGTCCTCAGAGACAGAAGTGGCAGCCCCTGAGCTGCAGGTGGTGATGGAGGGGCAGAGCAAAGGAGGTGGCAGAGGAGAGAAGAGCAGAAAAGAAGAGTCACCAGGGTGCAGCTCCATGTTAGTACCAGAAAAGAGGCAGGGGAGGGAAAAAACCCAAATAAAAACCACACACAACCACACACAAACAAAAGACACAAAATCCATGCAACACAACAGGCGAGGAGGCAAAGAATGACAGGGCACACGGGAGCCTTGAAAGTCAAAGTCGGCAACTTGATACACGACAGATGCTTTGTACTACAATCTCCATCAATTATAGGTAGTGTAGTCCAAAAGATCTGGAGGATGCCACGTTGCCTTCTCCTGCTCTAAAATAGAAATTCTGGACCTGCAAATTCCCAGATGACAATGAACTATAACTCCTCATTACTTCACACCAAACTGTTGGCTGGAAGTGATGAGAGGTGTAGTCAAAGAAAACCTGGGAGCCAAAGAATGCGCGCATATGTGAGAAAAGAGGGTGAAACATGCATTATGCCTTCTTTGCTTTGACTCTATGTAGCCATTCACTCACTCAGAAATCTGGCTATTTTGAATATCCTGACCTGTTCCAAGTGCCCACTTTACTGCCAGTCCGAAGAAACACACCACTACATCCACTGATTCAAAGCCCCTTCCAGGAAACCCAGGACGCAATATTCTAAGACCCACATTTGTCTTCATGGTTGCCACCGCGAGCCCAAGAGCAGTCGTGGGCTTTAAAAACCACCCTTCCCTATGAAAGGTCAGATTCTCTCCCCACCTCAGCTCTCTGGATCTGAAGTCCTTGCCTCCACGAGCAAGATTTCATCAGCTGATGAACCCTCCCAGAAATCTCTGATCTTTGCACATGGGTAAGATTCCTTCCAGCTATAGCTTTTCCCCCTGGACATGCTCCTCCTCTGTGGTAGCTACCACCTGCTTATAAAGTGGGTGTGGACAGTCCCCAGAAGGGGCTGCATATTATTATTATTTATTGTATTTATACCCCACCAATCTAGTCATTTTGACCACTCTAGGCGGCCTATCCACGGTCCTTGGAGAAGTATGTCTGCTCTCAACATCACCACCCCATATATTTTTTTACAAAAATTGTGTGAGTGTGTATCGAAAAAGCCCACTTGGGCTCTCTAGCTGTAAAAAATAAATCAATTGGGGGTTCCTGGGGTGCTAGGCAGCTGCATTTTGGCTCTGGGGTCTACATATAGCCCATGGGCTAAATGCTGCCCATCCCTATTATCCGGTATCACCAGTGTGCATGAAAAAGTTTAAGAGAACAGGGCCATGCCCCAAGCAGCTTACAATCCAAAATCTGACATGAGAGAAACAACAAAGGAAGACATAATATAGTTCAAATATATGGATTAGCAAGCAGGAAAGGTTAGAGTCTTCTGAAGAAGCAAGAGACTACCAGGTGGTGGAACTGGAGAGGCAAAGACCAGAGATAGGGATATATAACACTATATATGAGTGGAGAGACTCGAGAATACCAAGGCAACAGAAGGTTTTAAAGGTACAGACAAGGAAATTGTGCAGATCGAGGCTCCTTTATTAGAGACATGAGGGTTGGGGAACTCTAAGTCTGCCAGATGTTTTGGACTTCAATTCCCCAAAGCCCTAAGCAGCATGATCTAGTATTGTTGGCATTGCTGTCCAACATTATCTGGAAGGCTGAGAGTTCCCTAGTTGATCTACATCAGTGGATCCCAACCTTGGGTAACTTAGGTGTTCTTGGACTGCAACTCCCAGAGACCCCAGCCAACACAGCTGGTGGTGAACGCTTCTGGGAATTGCAGTCCAAAAACACCTGGATTGCCCAAGGGTTGGCACCACTGATCTGTTATTGTCCTCTCAAGGAGAACTCCAGTCAAGTCAAACCCAGACACTGCAACTCATGCTGACTTGCTGATGGGAATTCCAATGGAAGAGCGGGACGGGGGGGGGGGCGACACCTGACGCAGAGGGTCAAGAAGAGCAGGGTGGGCGGAGTCAGCATCAAGACAGAAAGAGTTTCAGCCCCTTACTCTGCAGGCAGTCCAGCCTCCACCAACAGGGATGCAGGACTCTCAGGAGGCGGCTCCAAGTCACTGTTTCATCGAAGGCAGAGCAAGAGAAAGAGACAGAGAAGAAACCATCCCAAAAGGCAGCAAAAGAGAGAGAGAGAGAGAGAGAGAGAGAAAGAGACAAATAGATGCACACAGGCACACAAAGGGCAGAGAGAGAGAGACAGCAAGACAAGGCCATAAGGACGGACACGGGTCCCTTTTTCCCAGGGAAGAGGAGAAAGAGAGAGAAAGCCCAGGAGCTCTCCAACCACTCAGAAGACAGAAACCCATCCTCATCTACTCAGAGCGGAAAGGCAAGAGAGGAAACAGGCTCGTTCCAACTAGAGGCCCATCTCACTCTGCACCATCTTACACTGGCAGCTCCTGAACCCTTTGTAAGAAGACATCAGAGTATGAATTCGGGGCCCCTTTATGTATGATTCACGTACCCCACCACTTGTGCTATGGCGCTCTCCCCAAGACCCTCTAAGCCAGGCATGCTGGATTAAGGCACCATCATCCTCTGGGTGCGTTCCTTTCTTTTCTCCAGAAACGGCTCATCCCCTTCTGATGGCAGAAGTGTGTCCTAGGACCCTGCTTCCAATTTTAATGAACAGGAGGCACCTGTTACTTGCCTCCCTAGTCTCTCTGAAATGCACAACCACCACCTCGCCCAGGAAAAGGGAAAGAGAAAAGCATGCTCCAAGCCCTGCTGCTCCCACCTCACCTCAGGAAGTTCTCTTCAGCGCCCGACACAAGGCCAGTGGTAGCAGAGGGACTGTCAGAGAAGACATCCACCAGAAGGTTGCCAGCACTAGCAGGGACACCAGAGGAGGCGGCTGGGGTGGCCCGAAGGCCTAGCAAATCGGCGGAAGGGGACGGCGTTGACTGCAGGAAAGAAAAGAAAATTGGGGGGGAAAAAGCCAAGGTAAAGCCCCCTTCCCATGTTCCTGACTTCAAAACTGAACCCAAACACTTGATACCTACCTTGGGGACAGAGGAACTGGACCCTGCGCTGTGGGAGCATGCTTTCTCTCTACTCCTGCACTAAAATGTGTCCAGAAAAAAACAAATTCTGCAATTGGAATATCTGTGCAAACAGGACACATTTACATCAATTTTATCACACCTTCTCACTTCTCAGTAGGGATGGATGGGACTAACCTGTCATGCTGGCATGGAATAGAGAGAGTCTAAATAAAAAGTCTAATGCTTAAAAAACACTTGGTTGGCTTGACATATAACAGGGAAAGAAGATGGAACAGCAACCTGGATTTTACAATAAGGTCTCTTAAGTGACACACCATCTACTTTCTGTTGTCTACCTCCTAATTTGGATTTCTCTTTTGGCAAAGGCCAGGGACAAGAAAGTGTAGCGCCAGTGGGCAATTTGGTGTACCAAGTGTGGAAACTTCAGGACACCTATCCAGTTAGGGATGGTCTGACTGCCTAACAGAGGGAAAACACAAATTCTCTGACAAGTTGCCCAATTCTGCAGAAGCAGAAATATCGGTGGAACTTGACAGCCATTATAGAATCCACAATCTTTCCATCCCTTTTTTTGTTGGCTAGATCAGAGTACATATACAGAACAGCCTTCTCCAAGTTGCTACTGGACTACAATCCCCTTCATCCCCATGCTGCATAGGGATGATGGGGTTTGTAGTCTGGCAAGCACCAGGTGGGGGAAGGCTGGTAAAGAGCCTGAGGGTGTCCCACTTTTGCAACATGTGACACTTACTAGTAAAATCATGGCCTATAGTTTTCAACTTCTGTCCCTTTCCTTTTTGGGTCTTCCCCCCTGCTCCAGTGAGATCTGGTCTTCCATACAAAACGCCACACTCATTCCAGGGAATCTTCCCATGCCCAACTCCAAGCCCCCTCCCTTTTCCCTGCACTCACAGCAGTGCTGGCGGATGGTTCCATTCCCCCATTGATCTCCGAGTTGGGGTCCTTCTTGCCATCATCTAGCTCGCTGCCAGCTCCAGGACCCTTCTTCTTCTTGAGCTTAGCCAGGATGGATGACTCCCGTTCAGGGAATGGAGGCATCTCCTCCAGTACTGTGGCCTGGGGAGAAAAAGAACCCGATGGGACGACAGAAACAGACACTGCTCCAACAGGCAGCTTCACAACTCTGGGTGGAGGTTAGAACCAAATCCCATTTGAAAGGAAAAATAATGGGTTGACATCAGTGAAATGGATCATTAATTCTGAACTTGCCTCGAGGGATTGTGTGGTCATACACTTCTACCATGAAAGTGGCAATGGCCAAAACCTTATTTTCTTTACTTCCCACAGAAGCAGGGGAAGAACAGAAACTCCTCCAGAACTGAGGTTGTTCTATGACAGAGAGGCACAAAACATGGCCTGTGGCCCACATATTGCCCCATGTGGTCTTATGACCCAAACAAAACATGTCACTGGCAATTTTCTCCTAAAACAAGACATAGGGAGAGCATTTGCCTCATTTCCTGTCAGCCCATTTTGAATCAGGCTCACAGGAGCACATTTCATCTTGGGGAAAAAACACATGCTCCTCCCTCAACCTGTTTTAATGGGCAACTGCTGCAGTTTTGTGGTCAAGCCAAGGGCAGTCAGTGTACCCTTATTCCACTCTAGAAATTCCCCTCAAGTGTTTTACAATAAAGGAATAAAGATGGGCCTCCAAGGCTTATTCCAATCCTATTCAGAGGAGGTTCGTCCACCACACAGAGAACTTTTAAACTTGTCGAGAAAGCCCGTTATGGAGCAGCTCTGTAAAGGTTTAAAATTTTAAATCTTAAAGAACCCTACTGTCTTATTCTCTCAGGAACCAGCTGCTTTCAGACCTCAGCTGATAGCTTCTCTGTAAGGAAAAAGCTCAGCCTCTCTTCCACAGCTGGCCACTGTCCCAATCCCACTTCCATCGGTGTTCCTGGTTCCTCCATTCCTTCCTTACCAGGACGTCTGTGCTGGCGATTGAGCTAAGCTTGAGGTATTCAACGGCCCGCTGCTGTAGTTCTACGTCAGCATTGCGGATCTGGCTGTCTGAGCGCAGCACTTCCTGGATAGTGCCCTTGGTCTCAGGGAAGAGGTTGATGAACTTGATGTAGGTGGAGAGGAGCAGAGCCCGTGTAGAAACGCTACAGAGGTGGAACTTGGAATGCAGGAGATTGAACTGCACCAGAGGGCTGGTGAATGAAAGGAAAGACAGGTGAGAGGGCACGATACAGAATATACCACCAAACCACCCTGCAGTGTCAGGTCTTCTTGAATAGGAACCATCAAGTAATATCAAAAGTCTCCAGACAGGAAAACACCCTGTTTGAAACCATGGAAGTCAAGTAAATTAGGGGAGGATGAAGCAGAAGCTATCCTGAACTTCTTGTTTCCTTTTGTAGAGATCACCCTTTTAGCTATTTCACTTTCACTTTAGTAATTCAGGGGTCTCAAACACGTTTGAAACCATGGAAGTCAAGTAAATTAGAGGAGGATGAAGCAGAAGCTATCCTGAGCTTCTTGTTTCCTTTTGTAGATATCACCCTTTTAGCTATTTCACTTCCTTTAGTAATTCAGGGGTCTCAAACACACGACCTTCCGGATGATAGTTTGTGGCCCCCGCCTTGCCTGCCCCCCTGAAGCGCCCATATGCTCTTGTACCCTCCATCCAGAACTGCAGCCCCCAGATAAATTGAGTTTGAGACTAGTAATTCCTGCTCTAGTAATTCCTTACCTGGAACGAGGATCTCCAGCAATTAGGTTCCCAAACTCTCCTAGGATGTAGCCTCCAACCTTCACCATGTTTTCATGACAAGCAGGAGCCTGTAGAGCCTGTGAGGGTGGGGGTGGGAAAGAGGGTATGCAAAACATTGTCAGTAGGCAGAGAGAAAGCAGCATAACATGAAGCTCCATTCTCGGCTTACTGGGCAAGCACTAGCCCATGATTATAAAGAAGGGTTTTCTAAAACAGGGGTGGGTAGAAGGCAGGTTGAGAAATATTGACAGGTTTCTTGTAATTTACAGTTCATCAAATATTTTCATCTCTCTCCCCCTCCCAGGTTTCTCTTCCAGCCTAAATTAAGTTCCTAAAATCAAGAAACCTTTGGAGAAAATTAGTTCAGACACGAGTCAAATTCTGCAAGAGGACACAAATTCTGAAAATAATCTATAGATCAAACATGTTTCAAAAGGCATTTTTTTTCATAAAACAGGGGTGGGTAGAAGGCAGGTTGAGAAATATTGACAGGTTTCTTGTAATTTACAGTTCATCAAATATTTTCATCTCTCTCCCCCTCCCAGGTTTCTCTTCCAGCCTAAATTAAGTTCCTAAAATCAAGAAACCTTTGGAGAAAATTAGTTCAGACACAAGTCAAATTCTGCAAGAGGACACAAGTTCTGAAAATAATCTATAGATCAAACACGTTTCAAAAGGCATTTTTTTCGGTGCTGCCTTCCTGAGATGCTTTTTCACATCTAGCTCTAGCTGGTGGACGTCAGGTTCTAGTGAAAAGGACAGCAGATCCTGGAACGTTTGCTCACCTCTAGTCTAACAACACAGAATGCTGTTTCAGTTCCTTGCTTGATTAGTCACATAATAATCAACACCATTTCGATTTTTGTATGGGTCTCTAGTCTAGAAATCTATGGCAGCATCAAAATGTGTAGAGAAAATGGGAGCAGTCATCCTGTTGTTGGCCACAAAATGAATTCTAAAATCCATACTGGAACAGCACCTTGTTAAATCAACCAAAAGTATACAAGGTTTTAAGATCTTAGTAATAGGCAAGATAGTCCCAACTTGAACAGAGCAGCAGAAGAGAGGTTCGCTCTTAAGTCCTTGCCTTTGTATAGTGTCAAAATACAGCAGATAGGAGGTTACGCCATCAGCTAAATGGAGGTCTATCAGGTGATGTAACGGTGCTAGGCTTCAGCAGAAGGAGGCCTCAGATTATTTAGAAATGAGAAAGTCAGCACAGTTCAATTCTGTGTCTTAAATAATACAAGTCCCCACAATTAACAAAAAATGAATGTAGTGGTAAGTGTCTCATTGAAAGGTATTTACCACTACTGTGTCACAAGCACCCCCTAGTCAATTGTTAACAAGCCAGATTTAAACAGTGCTTACTGCTGATCTCCTGTGCTAACCACGAACTACTCTCTGGGCAGCTGGGATCCACCTTCTTCAATCTCTTTGAGAGTTCAGATTGGAAAACAAAAAGGTGTGGGTATGTAAACCCCTTGAAAAGTAATAATAAGGCAGAACTGTTAACAGGGTAAGCATGTTAGGTGCTTACAAACTTGGGAGCAGAAGGGCCAGCCTCGTGGAGAAAGGGCCGCAGTCCAGTTTTCCTCTGTGGCCAGATACTTGTGTCAAGAAAAAAGAGGATGGGGCCAACTGATCTCAACCTGCCTTCACTGCTGCCCTTGTTGCCATGTACATCTGGATGCAGCCTCTGTAACAGATCTGGGGCCTCGTCCAGGCTATCCAAACACCTGGGGCCAGCTTTCATTCTCTTTTATTAGCATTAGGAACAGAACAGAAGGCAGCTGCAACATCTTTCACTGTGCCAGTCAGTCAACCATCTATACTCTCCTTTTAAATATTCCATTCCACTCCTACCCCATCTGGTTTTTCAGCTGCTGTTCCCCAGAGTCAGTCTGCATTTTGTGTCCACTGAGCATGTTCAATCTCTATTGGACAGCTTGGGCATGTGTGCCCTCTGCCTTAGTTATCTCTACCTCTGCAAATCTTGGGAGATCCTCTAATCCTGTTGACACTTCACTTTGTGAGCACGTTTTGTTGTTTCATCTAATAAGCAAGAGATCTCAAATATCAAAACAGAAGGAATGATTTATCAAGATTTCATAGCATCCTTTCCTCTCAGACGTCTTCATGTCATTTAGCACCTCTTTGTGAAAGCAACCAGGCATATGTATCTCTCAGATACCATGAAAAGGGTCCTTCCCAGAGCTGCACATGCGCAACTAAGAAAGGATTGAGCCCACCCACCTCAAAGACAGTCTTGGCAGCATAGCCTTGCACATCATCCCGATTGATGACTATCTGGATGACACGGTACCACACCTCCTCGCTCACATAGTCCCCAGCGATACGGATCAGGTTGAGGATGGTGTCCACGTACCAGCTGTAGTCCACTGCATACTTCTCTGCTAGGATAGCCACCTTCAGCACCTAAGAGAATAAAAAGGAAGTATGTTGCCTTTAAGCCGCTGGGAATTCTTCTCCCCACCAGATCACTCTGAGAACCCAGAAACTCCCAGTGGGAATTCTTCTCCCCACCAGATCACTCTACTAAGAGAACCCAGAAACTCCCAATGTCCATCAAGCTTTACTTGGTTTCACCGAAATCCACTCAGACAAAGAGAATAGCTTTGGCTCCCAAAACCTCTTTCCCCATTTCCAGCTCTTTTACTCACTATCTCCTCCCGGATGGAATAATCGGCGGTCTCCAAGTAACTAAGCATTTCAGAGACAATCTGCTTGGCATTTGTGCGGTCACACATGGCATAGAGCAAGTCAGCTGCCCGCTGGCGTACACTCACATCCCGCTCCGTCTGCAAAAGGTTAAAGATATGCAGTGAGAACTGATCTTCCACTTTTAATACATAGCCAACGTAAGCTTCACCCTGATTTGGCTTATACAAGTGAAAACAGCAAAGAAGGAATCTTCTGCAGACCTGTTACATCTCATCACTATGGTCGGCAACACAGTAGATCAGTGATTCCCAACCATGCGTTATCCAGGTATTCTTAGACTGCAATTCCCAGAAGCCTTCACCACCAGCAGAGCTGGCCAGGGTTTCTGGGAGTTGCAGTCCAAGAACACCTGGGTCACCCAAGGTTGGAAGCCACTGCATTAGATGAACGAGGAGATAAGAATGATACCAGACTGAAATGTTCTAGTTCCTTCCAAAGCTTCTTCTTCTTTCCCTCTTCCACCCCTTAAGCTCAGGATTTGGTAACATCCAGCCTTCTATATGTTGTTAAACTGCAACTCCCATCAACCTTCACCAGTAGAATCAATTGGGATAGATCATGGGAGTTATAATTCAACATCAGTAAATTCACAAAAAAGTGGTCCAATACTTCCAGTCTCTAAATCCAGGATAAGCAACCTGGCACACAACAGATATTTTGGGCATTTTAACCCTCAGCTACCTGTAGCCTGCAGTCAGGTATTACAGGAACTAGAATTCAAAACTTCCAGAGGGCACCTCTATACTAAATGCAAACTGGAACTCTCAACCTTTGCATAATGAAGCTGGATGGAGAATTTTCAATGTAACTAACTGCTAGCTCCAGTTTTAATACTGACTGCTTTTTCAGGACTGCTGCAAGATGTGATCCTGGCCCCTACATCTTCCAGCCCATGGTTTCCTTCACTACGTGAAATAACAAGATTGTGCCATTCAGTATTAACTATGCTGACACTGCTAAAGGAAAATTGGCTGAAGAATTACCCACACACATCGCAAATGTTGAGGCTAGTTGCTAGCCTGCCTCCCCCATACCAACATGCTTCTCTGACTCATGAACATGATGATGAATTTGGCGAGGCCTTTTCCACTCAGCTGTATGTTTTCATTTCCCACCATCTTAATTTATGGTTACATTATACACTGCCTTGCTCTAATGAGCTCACAGTTCTGTATGTGGCTATCTCTTTCTCCATATCCTCTCAACAATACTGTGAAGATAGGCTAGGCTAAAACCGAGTTAGTTTTGTGGCTGAATGGAGAATTGAACCTGGAACTCTCAAGTCTCATTTCATCACTCTAACTACTGTATCACACTGCCTCTTAACTAACTTGCCCATTTGTACTGCACATGGCTTTATGTATTCCGACCTTGAGGGCATTGATGACTGTCTCAATGTGGGTCTTGACGGCCTCATGAGAGAATTCAGAGCTGGCCAAGGTGCACATGCTCTCCAAGGCAAGGTATCGTAAGTTGGTCTCTCGATGCTGTAGGAACTGGCCAAGCTGATTGCATGCCCGCACAAGCAGGTTGGGTTCACTGTGGGCCAAAAGAATAGAGTAACTGTAGGATGAATGACTGTACCATAGGCCTGACAGCAAGCCTCCCCAGTCTCACTGATTGTCAGTAACATCCCACATTCTAATCAAATTTATTGAAAATAAGTCTTACTACACTTTCTAACTTCCCCGGTTTTCCTTGGCATGTTCCTCTCACTGACTTATTCCACAAGTCATTATTCCATCCGAATGGATAACAAGTAATGTTAATCACAGTGAGACTTCTTGAAAAACTGTCACATTTTTTCATGTTTCTGTGCCAGCCAATAGCTACGATGACTGGGGAATTCTGGAAGCTATAGTCCAAAAACTAACTTTTCCAATTAACTCTTGGCTTTCCACTATCCCCATCTGTCTCTGTTTTAAGAACACTACTGTTGTTATGGGCTGTCAAGTCAGCACCAACTTATAACGACTCTAAGAGAGCTTTCAAAGTACTGTATATGAGATATTTAAGGAGTGGTTTTACCAGTTCCACACTCCCAATGAGTTTCCATGGCTGAACAGGAATTTGAACCTGGGCTTCCTAAGTCCTTCTCTGTCACTCTATCCACTACACCAGCTGATTATCTTAAGAACTTTGGAGGAGCCTTTTCTCCAAAAACCTTTGGTAAATTATATGACCAAAAAGGGATCCTGACTGTGGAGAACAATCTGCCCACAGAAAAGGCTCTCAAGCTTGAGCCTCTGTCCGTTCTTGAACTACAATTTCCACTAGCACTGATTACTGGTTGTGCTAGGTTTCCACTAGCACTGATTACTGGTTGTGCTAAATAGGACTTCTGGGAGTTGTAGTCCAAGAACATCTGGGATCACAAGTTCAGAAACCACTGGACAGAAAGTCTAATAGGAACTGCCATTATATTCTATTCAGGCTGGTTTATCAAGTTAGATGGAGCTATCCATTTTAGATTATTGCTGCCTTCTACTATTGTATCTCAGCATGATTTTATTACTATTGGCTCATTTTGCTACATTTCATACACCATGCTATTAGGCGAACCTGGAAAAGGAATATAACAATATTTTGAAATAAATATATTTTAAAAGAAAAGAGGGCTAAGGAGGATTGAGCAGGAGCTCACCTGTCGTAGTGGATGATGAGGCTGATGGCTTCAAAAAGGATTGCATTCTTGGCATTGGAGTGCTGGACCTTCTTGGACTTGGGCGGTTCTTGGGCCTTGTTGAGAATAGTCTCCAAACACTCAACCAGGCGTCCTTTTACTGCTGCATCTTCTGTGGGGGGAAAAAGCAGAGGGAGTAAAGGCAAGGGCAGTAGCATATCAAAGTGGATACCAGAAGGGAAAAAAGGGAGGAATCCTGGCTGCCAACATTCATTTATATTGGGATACCCCCCCACACACACACACCAGATAATCTCTTGCACTAACATATTCTGCTTCAGGTACGTGGCTCCCAATCTCCAAAAACTGTAATATCAGCCATATCCAATAAAGAAAGAGAACCAGAATCACGCCACTTTGTTATGTTCAGAGCTGGAAAAAATATTACTTTTCTACACTATAACTCTCAGAACCTTCCACCAGCATCGCCACTGGCCACATTGTCTGACATGTTTTAGTGCAATGGTTGCCAGTCCTGGGTAACCCAGGTATTCTTGGACTGCAGCTCCCAGAAAACCCCTACTAGCACAACTGGTGGTGAAGGCTTCTGGGAACTGCAGTCCAAGTACACCTGGGTTACCCAAGTTTGGGAACAACTGCTCTAGAAGCTGAAATGAAAGGATTGAATACAACTGCTAGTCCAAAGCACTCCCTGAATTAACTGTCAAATGGTGAGTGGACACTTCTGCAGATCCAGCTCATTCAATGGGACTACTCTAGTTCAGATTACCAACTAGATTCAGGTCAAAATGAGTAAACTTTCCAAGCTCTGGTTCTGCTATGTAAATAGTGAGTACTCTGAGTACAATTATTTTTGGATTTCCTCTTCTAACATGCAAATGAGTGAGGAATGCATGAATTCAAGCCTTGTTTCATCGTGGAAACCAGTTGCTTCCTCTTTTCATTCCCACTGGGAATGAAAAAAATGCAAAGCAAATAAGAGTGCTTTCAAGTCACTACCCAATGAAAAGTTCTATAGAATTAGAAAGTTTGAATACTCCCACATCAACTTTGTCTTGGTTGAAAAAGGGAGGCCATTTTACATGCTTTATTGTTATCTCTATTGCTTTAGGATCAAATTTAACTTCTGAGGTAGAAAAGAAGATGAATAGGAAGTGGACTGTTTGCATCACTGAGATGCTATCTGCAGTTCTGGGAGCACCAAACTGCGGGGGAAAATCTGAAAACCTCCATTCCAGTCTCAGACAGAGAACCTAAGTCATATGACTACTAGCACCCATTAATCTGCTAGACTCTACCGTCCACAGAAAAATGAATCCTAGCCTTTTGGTTATTTGAAAGATAGAAAATCTATGGTCCTCTGGGTATTGCTGCACTATAAATCCCACAATCTCTGGCCATGCTGTCCGACAAGAGCTGGAACCTACAACATCCGGCAGGACCGCATGTCCCTTAGCTCGAATTGCCTGTCCTGAATCTGCAGGCAAACTGCCCAAAGACTATAGTGCAACTGCTGGGCCCAGTCTTGCCTCACAACCATGTAATGCAGAAGACTTCTGTGGGAAGAGGGCTGTTCCGTAGAGAGGGCACATGTTCAGCAGGCTGACCTCCTCCTTGAACTTTCCACTCTCTCTTACTTACACACAGACATCGTCCAAAACTCTAAGCAATCCTACCTGGGGGAGGATAGCACTGCAGCAGCCGCAAGAGCTTGACTGAGAGCCAGGGCGCTGGCACAAAGTAATAGGTGTAGTCTTGGAGGTCGGTGGAGGCTGAGGACACAATCTGCATGGAGAAGACAAGGGGAACATGGCAGCCACAGAGCACTCAGGACAAGCTAGGTTAGAAATCCTTTAGTCTTCACTCCCTTAATACAAAAGTCAACAAATGTGGCACCCCAGGTCAAACTAGATGGGCATAAAATCAGTCCAGAAGGAAAGGAGGTTAGATCATGGCCAGCCTTTCTAGAGAGGATAATTCTCCCCATTACCTTTTCTCAATTTAAATCTGTCCCATCCCAAATTCTATTAGATGGGGAAGGAAAGAGAGGTATGTATGATACCGCAAAATGGCAAACCATCTTATTGCCCTAGGCAGGCAAGAGGCCTATATGGATCACAGGTGAAGAAGGGTTGTTCTAGAGGCCAAGCAAGTTGTGGCATGACATATGTCATGTGTGCTGCTGTCTCGTAAGAAATAAGCATACAATAACAGGCACAGGGAAAGACAGATTACAAATAGGAGCGGTCCTTTGGGGCAAGTACTACAGAAACCAATCCGAAAATTAGCCTTTTAAAGGATGTTCTCCAAATTCTTCCCATTTTGTTTCACTCCTCCACTTCCTTCTCACGAGTAGGTCTTTATGCTAATGCAAGCTACTGATACTATAGGAGAAGAGTGATTCAGGCCCCAGTAGCTACTGCTTTACTCCTTCCTCAGCATGGCCTTTAATTTTTCTGCCTGAGCAATGTAAGGTAACTCAAAATTCACTGGTGCCAAATACCAGAATGGGCAGCTCCGAAGCATTGACTTTATGGACTACAACTCCCCCAACCAGCATGGCCAGGTAAGTTACAGTCAAAAAAGTAACCCAAATTCTAGTACATTAAGTAGAGCATTTTATATGCTGCATTTAGATGCTTGAACTCTGTTCAAAAACAACCTGTCTCCAGTCCCTTGTCCCTTATATACGATCTTTGGTTCAGTCATGGTTCTTAAGCACCTTCATAAAACTAAAATAAATATATTAAACCAACACAGGTTAACACAGGAAAAAATTCTAATTATTTAGTTCCTGTCTGTCTCCAGTCTCTGAACCCAAAAACTCACTCTGCTGAGCCTGGACACAGCCAAGGAGACACACGTCTTGAAGTCATCAGGATTCTTCTTGCAGAGGCAGGCAATGAGGCTGACCGCAGCTGTGACCACACCCTGTGTTGTTGCGGGGGGGGGGGGGGGAGAGGAAAGAAATGGGGCACTGAGTGAGATCACATCAACAGGGATGCTTTGGAATGTGCTGCCCTGATAAACTAGCTTGGCCTCCTCTCTCCTATCCTTCCATCATCAAAGACCTTCCTTCTCAGGCAAGTTATAAAGTAATAAATGGGGGTCTCGGAAATACCCTTTTATTAAATTCAGAGATTTGCACATTTAAAAAATTGATATTAAAATAATGTTCAGTCTCGTTTTTCATACTGATAAAGATTAAATTTTTAAGATACAGTTTCTATGGAACTTTAAAACTGTTCACCCTTGTATCTTGTTGCTCATTTTAATTGTTCTAAGTCACCATGGGGAGAAAGGAGGCATATAAATACTAGCTGTTGTAAACCATTATATTATTTATATCCCATCATGAAGGGTAGCATATAATAATATATATAAATAAATAAATAAGGGATGTGCCACCCACTGGTTCTCAGTGCACATGCAGTATAATTCTGTGTGACAATGACACAGAGAATAGAGCGTCCAATGTGCAGCACTACCATTGCTCAAAAGTATTTGAGGAGTTGTTTTAACAGCGATGGGCAACATTTGATCCTTTAGGTGTTGGAGACTGCAGTTCCTACAATCTGTTATCGCTGACCAAGCTGGCAGAGATGATGGGAGTTATAAGTCAAAATATATGGAGAGCCAATGTTCCATCATCCACACACAAAGAGAAAAGTTCTAAATCACCAAAAAGAGACCAACAAGTATCTGTTTTCAGGAACCTGTCCTCTTGCTGGTGTGATGTTCTGATTTCTAGTATTCAGAATAAACTGACCAGCGGGCATAATGGAAAAAAGAGTTCTGAATGTTCACAGAGGGATGTATGGTCTGGCAGTGACCTGCGAGCAGACAGGACAAACTACATATGGAGATAAATTGGGAGAGGGGGCAGAAGCTTCTAAACTGTCTATTTAGAAACATATTCGAAGAGAATAACAATTCACCATGTGCTGATCGTTTAGAAGGTGCACCACCCGTGATGTCCATTCTCCCATGGGCACCAAGTCAGGCGAAGTCTTGTAGAGGCGCAGGAGACAGAGGGCAGCACTCTGCTTTACACTGTCCATGGTGTCACTGAGGGGCAATTAAAAATAAAAAAAGTGAGCAAGACAGTTTGGCCCTTCTGATCTTGATGGCCTAAAACTCTCATCATTCCTTTCCATGGCCACTGAGGTTAAGGCTGATGGGAACTGGGATTCAACAGTGTTCAAAAGGCTACCAAGTCCTGCCCCATGACCATTTCTGAGCTTTCTAAATTGATATGAGGGAGCTTCTTAGGATCCTGTATACACTTACAGAAATAAAATATCACCTTATAGAGCAAACCTACCCAGCCACCAGGATACGGGGGATTTCAGAAGCAAAGGCCTCAGCCATTTCACGGCTGCCTACGTTGGCGATGCAGTGTAATGCCAGGCACATGAAGGTGGGGTTGCGGCTTGCCAAGTCATTCTTGATGGCATTGTTGATGAGACGGATCAGCTCACTATTAGAGTTCACCAGCACCGAGATGAACAAGTAGCCCTAGGATCATAAGGAGGGGAGGCAGGATGAGAATAAAGCATGAACTGAGAATAAAGCATGATTGTCACTGTTTCTGCCCAACCACTCATCCCATTGTATGCATTTAAGTTATTCAGTTTTAAAAGTACACATTGCTTTGTGTGTACTTTGTTTTTTCCAAAATACTCTGGAAGCCTCACAAAAAATCTCAAGGCAAAATCCATTTCTTCTCACTATGAATCTTGGATAGTGTGGAAACATTACTTTCACGCAGAGTCTAGACTGCTGAATCCAATAAAATTTTCCTATCACATTTTCTACGCAGAAAAGGGCCAGATTAAGGCTGGTGAGAGCCTCTGAGGAAGACAAATAATTCCTCTATTTGCTTATTTTTTCAAGTCTATGTATCGCACAACTAATGGGAGCCTGCTCGCCCTCTCACCATTAGTTTCCCAAACAAAAGCAACTACCTCAATAGAGGTGAAGGTAAAAATCTTTTTGGGCTTTTGACTTGTGTGGAGCCACTTCTATATGACCTTAAAAACAAGAATGGGCCAAATGCTCCCCACATCACATCTGGGATATATGGGCTTTAATAGTGAATTAAAAAGGCAAAGGCATGCTCCTTGCTTAAAAAAAAAAAAACAGGACCCTCATTTTAGGTCTCCCACTGTCCTACAATCTCTGGAGCAGTAGCTGTAATGGCACATCCCTCGGCTACTTCCATCTAAAGTTCATGAGGGTTAGATATAAAGTTCACTGGCTCACTTTTAATTCAGCTGTCAGCAAGTAGAGTTCCTGTTTTATTTAACAGAGATATTAGTGCCCATAGCCTCATCAATATAAATGGCTCAGAATACAAAGACAGAAAGAACTGTGCTAATGAGATGGAAGAAGGGAAGAAATGGAATATAGAAATGGAATATAGATTCAAATTCAAGAACTGTGCTAATGAGATGGAAGAAGGGGAGAAATGGAATATAGAAACTTGGGATTCAAATTATCATGCAAACCTAGTTCACCCCCTAAGAAAAGAGAGAGAAGAGATGCCTGAATGATACCATTTGAGAAGATGGAGTAGAGGGCTTGGCAAAGTGAATGTTCTTCCAACTTCTCTGTCTTTTAAATCTCCATAACAGAAAACTCAGCATTCCCCAATATGTTTATTCCATATGCTGCCAGATTTTTTTTCTGCCACATTCATCACCTATGGAACAAAATGATGCAGTCCAGGAACACCTTTTTACCACTTCCTCTGCTGTTGCTATTAATGGGACTTTGATGATAGGAAATTCAGAGGGTGGCTTTGGGAAAAAACACTTCCTAAGTTGTTCTAACTACATCTGAAAGCCTGCATGGCTACGGTTAGAGTGTCAGCAGGCTCATGTCCACCGTTAAGCAGAGTGAAGCAGTTGCCTTAAAGAGTAGATGGGGTATCATTTAAAGGCAGCAAATGGTTAGCTAGTTATTATTATACACTCGTACTGCTAGTGATGGCGAGAGGTGCCTGTAGGATTTTCTGCCTCCTGTGTAAAAATAACTTGTCTGGCTTTCAACACTGTGCACCCTCACTTGGATGGGTGAGGGTCATGATTTCTACTCTGTATCAAGCAGCAGAAAGTCTTGGGTAGACTCTAAATGCTGAACTAAGATTGCTGAGCTAGAATTCTCAGCCTAACCTAGGTAACCTTGTAAAAATAACAACATCTTCTTGGAAGAAGGACGGAATACTTTAGAAATGTAAAGGTCAATAAGTAAACAAATATCCATTTTCCCAATTATTTGCAGGCTTTGGGTTACTGTGTTTATTTACCATGAGCTCTGGGAGGCAGCCAACTGGTGTTCCCACTTGTTCAGATGAAGAATTGAGGCAAAGAGGGGGCTAGAATCAGTTTCTGAAGACAAGTCTGGGTTACACCATTGTTAAAAAACATCACAAACATTAGCTAGCTCGTGAAGGTCACACCCATTGCTTGTCTCTGAATCACCCAGGTTTTTTTTTCTCAACAGAAGCTGGTTTTGGTTTGTTTTTAAGGAGGATCCTTCCCCAATCCAGAATTCCCTTTCCCGCTTACAATTTGCTTTTCCGTGTACTTGTTGGAGCTGAGAAGGTTAACAGCCTCCATGTGCCCAAAGTCGATGTCATGGCCCAACAGGAAGATAAACAGCAGCTTACAGACATATTTCTTCTTACTGTAGCCATCCAGAGCTTTATCTCCTGAAAGGGAAAAGAGCAAGGGGGGGGGGAGGGAGCAGGAAGGTCATTGGCACTACTGGAAGGAGAGAGGCAATTGCAAAGCAACTGGGTCAGGCTGGCGAGCAGAAAGTTAGCTCCAAGGTTTCCCTGGCCTTCCACTAGCAACCTCCCAAATATCTTTATATCTAAATCCACTCAAGCATAGTAAAAGGACAGACACAATCAGACTGTCCTCCACTTTTCACGCATCCTTTGTGTTCCCTACATGCCACAGCAATTGGGTCCCATACCCACCTCTATGATAGCATTTCCCCCAGTTTGCACTGATCCTTGCACTGATGCCACATAATCTGCCAGTGACAGAAGTGACTGTTCTTGAGGGAGGGAGGCCTTGGAAGCTCTGCCTCAAGCCTCCCTATCAGAGGCCTGGGAAAGCGTCTACTAACCCTCCTTTCCAAGGATGTCTTGCCAGCACTGCAGGGGGGGAAGTTACCTTTTCTCCAGTAAGTCCCCTTCTAATGAAAAAGAAACTGAAATTTGCTCTTGTGTGTATGTGTGTGTGTACAAGCAGCTCCAAGAATAAGGGAAATGTGGTGCCCAGGCATGTTATAAGACATGTTTCTGAGGTAAACTACAGGCCAGTTTTAGAAGGATAGCAGGTTTCCCTCCAAAAAAGGCATCTCTCTCACCACAGTAGATCATCGGGAAATTAAAGTAATGCAAAATAAATATGTTTAATTTAGAATCCAAAAGGAACTGTGTTTGGTATAAATAGGTCAAACTGTTGTTCCGACTAAAGTGTACAATTACATTTGTCTTCTCTGCAGATAGAGATCTTGCACAGAATTTTCTTGACCTGAACTGAGGAAGAAGAGTTTCATGATTGTAACCTGCCCTGAATACCGCCTGGTAGTGGAAAGGTAGGGTACAAACATAATAAATAATAATAACACAAGAAGGGAAAAGAACAATGATAAAAACCAATGCTGAATGAAAAAATCCTACTCTTATGAGATAGGGTTGGCATACTGAGAACCTGAAACTTGCTTCTTTAAACAAAAACAGATGCCAAGCTTTGTGAGATTTTACAGGCAACTTCTAAATTGTTGACACTGTAGAGATTGTCTAGTAACTAGATTACACTGATTTGAGAGAAGAACAAAGTATAGTGGAGAGAGCAACAGCTGCTAGATTTTCTGGCAGGAGGATGTCAGGAACTAAGGCTTTTGAGCTTCTTTGGAAGTAGATACAGACTCAGTTGGGATGGGCAGGAGTTCTATCTGTGCTTGAGCAAAATCCCTGATGATTTGCCTATTCAAAAGAATATGGAATAACTGGATTGGTTTTTAACCAGCATTGCTCTGTCCACATATAACTGTCTATTCTGGAGTAACTGAATTCTGTCAGAATATGTCCAACATGCACTCTCCTCACTGCAAGTCCTTTTTCCTTTTAAAAATAACAAAAGCTTGGCACAAGTTGCATAACTATCTTTTTCAAATGGCACCTGATGGTGCAACCACAGAGACAATAGTAAAACTGAGCCAATCCAATCCTACTCCTCTCAGCTGAAGATGCAGACATCAGGAGAACAATTTGGGTTTCAAGCACTTAGTTATTTCCACAGTGGAAGCAGAGAGACCAGCCCCACTCTTTTCAACACAGCAGAAATTGTCCTGCGGTGTCATAACAACCTGGAAGAATGGAAACACAGTCCAGAAGCCCCAGTCTAAACAGTCACTAACTGGATTCAGGAAGGATGGGGGGGGGAGGGAGGTTTAGCTGGCTTGGGGGATGTGACAGGAGATCACTGGTTAAGAGCTTTGCTCTGAAAATCAGATCTTTTCCAGTGTGTTTGAAGACAGCTAGAACAGTTGAGCTGTTGTGCATTTTGACCCTGAGCACAGGGGTCATCCCTCATCTGCTGCCTGCGGATACACCGTACCCTGGACATTTTCATAGAGCATCACTGTCGGAGTGTTACAGAAGATGGATGACAGCAGCGGAACCAACCTGGGCAATGACTACAGATACGCATGGTTGTGAGGTGGGGAGGGGGTGGGGGAGAAAGAAAGAAAGAAAAATAATGAGAGACAATGAGTAAGCCAGGCTGAGTCACAGAGCTGCTGTACAGATCTGTAGTGTGAAACAGTCAGTGTATCCTGCAAAGCAGGAGAAAGGAGAAACAGTGTGTGCTTGTGTGTGAATGAGAGAGAGAGATACAGACAGAGAGGAGGAGGAGGAGGAGGAAGATAGAAGATAGATGGAGGGAGGAAGGGGAAAATAACACAAGGATACTCACCCTTGAATTTGGATCGAATATTAGCCAACTCCTTGTTAATCCGTTTAATTTCAGCTTCTTTGCTTTTACCTGGAATCAAACACAAAGGGATACAAATGAAGAAAATGTCAGCCTTTTTGATGCACCACCCACTCAGCCCACCATGATATGTTCTTGGTACTGCACACCTACCTACCACATCAAGGGATGCAGAAAGAAAACCTTAGGGAAGAAGATAATAGGGTGGACATCCAGCAGTAAATAGAAATCAACTGCACCACACTAATGATGGGAAATGTTTCACTGTCTTCTGTATTCAGAATTTTAAAACTTTGTTCTTTCCACCCCAAAAACATTCGTGAATAGTGTTAAATTCTTAAAACATGAACTGAAAGAAAAAATTCCCCTATTTGCACTAGCCTAGTCCGCCTGATATAAATATTCCTACTACTGATATAGTCATGCTTGTGTATGTTACATAGGTAAAGATAAAGAAACTCTTGGATAAAGGAAGGGAGAATATTAATAATCACAATTCAGCACCATAAACAACTTTAAATATTCAGACCTGAACTTCGAAGGGTCAAACACGCAAAGCCTTGGACCTGGATGGCCAAATCTACCCATTTTTTCCCCACCTTCAAATTTTGCAAATACTGCATCTCAAGTTTCTATCCCAAATAAGAAGGAATTGTAAATGTTGATACATTCTTACCAAATCAAGCTGAAAGGAACATTCTTACCCACCCCAACACCACACACAGAGTTTATGAATTAAACAGAGTAACAAATGAAGCAGTGCACCAAAAGGAAAGCAGCAAGAGCCTATTCTCTGCTTCTCGGGGTGGGGGTGGGAAACTCCACTTAGGGCCAAATTGAATGAGAGTCAAGAGAAGAACTTTGCACTCAGAGCATCCAACAATCTTTTTTTACATGTAAAGCAAGCAGGCTCCACTCCCAATTCTGATCTGAGTAACGCAGCCAGGCAATACTTCATCCAGATGGATTTTTTTTAAAAAAACTGCCCTGACTAACTCCTAGGATATTTGTGATGTCATAGAAATTCCAATGTATTCAGGGTTAATCGTAGGGCTGTGGTTAAAATAATATGCTTCGTTATTACCCGAAACCACTGAGAATTGCAATGCACTAGCTCAAAGAGGACTCACCTGTTGACAACACTCTTTCCAATTCTTGGCACTGTGGTTTGCTGAAACACAGCATGAGATATACAGTATCTGGTCCCAATGCATGGCAGTGTCTGGGGCAAATATGCACTTCATGGGCAAAGGCAAGAGACAGGCCAAAAAACTATGGCTTAATAAACAATGATGTGAATGAGGAGCATACTGTATTCGATTGTTAGCTTCCAGATCCTAGCTTGTTTGGGGAATGAAACCATAACCCTGAGTTTAAACATAATGGGAAGCTCTCCATTTCTTAGCTACTTCACCTGCTCCATCAAACAGATTAGGAAACAGATGGGCTACACAAACTAGCATAATACTTATTCATACCCGACCGTAGTTTGCTGAGCCACTGTCTTGGCTTCAAGTGAGATGCCACCATGGCTGGAAAACTGTCTTCAGCCTGGGGAAAACTATGTATAGTTTCATTCTAGTCAAGCCTGGGCGTTTCCTATACCTCCTTCCTGTACATTTTGATTAAAATAAGAAACTGATCCAAAATATCTACTCCACCTCTTTCATTTGCCGCAAACAGACCTATACATGCACACACTGTACCCTTCTGTTTATCATGACTTCAACAGAAAAATGCTTCTTAAAGGAAAGATTTGCTTCCTGACAGTTAACTACCAGGGGCTTTAAAAAAAATCACATTCACAGATTAAAGGGGCTTAGGCTGATCCTATCTTTCATCCCATTAGCACTTCATCAAGAGCATACAAGTACTGCCAAGTCAGTATCTAATATTTTTGTTTTGAAAGGATTTCTTGCTCATATATTTGCTGTGGTGGTAGCAAAAACCCGAGAAAGGCATCAAGCTTTCCCATGCATTTTCAAGGATAGGGAAACTCTGTCCCTCCATGGGTTGTGCTAAAAGTGCCACCATTTCCTATCACTGGCCATGCTTGCTGGAGCTGATGGGAACTGCTGTACAACAACATTTAGTGGACCTTACAGGTTTCCCAGCCCTAGGCTCATATGAAGATCCATCAGGAAGGTCCTGGCTTTAAGTGAAGATTGGAAAGGACAATTGTCAGCTGTATCAGCATTACAATGTAGATGAGGAAATTAACCTATGGAAAGAGAAGGTGACAGGCCTGTGGAATGTGTTTATTTGTTATATCCTGCCCTTCCTATAAACTGCTCACAGCTAGTTCTAGGGGCTGCCAAGGTCTCCCACGTTCAGCACTGCTACAGGAGACAGTTTCCAGGCTAGATACTAGCCAAGCTCCCACCCCTTTTTGAAGCTTGAGAGTCCACAAATTGGCACTGAGAAGGTCACATACATCAACAGTGGAATTAACATGTGTCAAGTAGCACCAAGATGCTCTTCTTCTGGCTCTTCTGACTGAAACACTGGGCTGCTTGAGCATTCCACGGTGCTTCTCTGACTGCCTATGACTTTTTGCACTGGTGCTGGGCAACGTCAGTCTGAACTTCTCTAGAATTCTCCCCACTCCCACAATCATCAACAAAATACAGCTGACTTTTCAGTGAAACAAATACCAATGACTCAAAGAGTTTCCATGTAACATCCCATCCATTTTTAGAATCCAACCCTAAATTATTAACCCTAAGGCCTTAGGAAACACCTCTATGATATCTTCCAAATGTATCTGCTTCTTATAATCATTAGCACTTTGAGAGTACAAAGGACTTGATGCTCTTCATTCAGTTGTTTGAACACCCAAGCTTCACTCTATGCCTATTCTGAAGCTTGAAATAAAGGCTGAGGGGTCTTTTTTTTTCCTACCAAGGATCTTGACTTTTCTGGGACTACAATGGCCAGCTGCCAAGGTGAACAGGTCTTCTGTACTTTCAACAGTTGCACTCACAAGGAGGTTTCTGGCAACACCTGTTTCTTTTGTTAGTCCTGCATGCCATGCCAAGCTGCTCCTACCTAAATGCCTTCTTGAACACAATTGCTAAAAGCACCAGGGAACATTCTTCTAGTTAGTCATTTTAGGGCACCACCATTTTAGAGGCATGTCGGTATCAAACCTTCCGCTCTACCCCCACACACCTTGTTCTACCCAGTTTCCTCTGGAGCAAAACTGTCAACCAACCCCCATCAAGAGTGATATGCAAGCATGCAGATCTTACACCAGTACAAAGCAATTTTGGAAGAGACACACACAGAGGCCTGGGCTTAAATTTACATTTTAATCTTACATATCTAGAACTGAAGTGGGAAGAAAAGACATCTGGATCTACAGAAAGATCTTTGAATGATTTCAGGAGATACACAATTACTCCTGACTCCCAGTTATTCAGCAATAGCAGCAAAGAAGCTGACTCTGTTGGATTGACGAAACCAAGAATAAATCCTTGTGTGGAGGGTCTTGCAAGAAAAGACTTTTAGTTCTTAAACTTGAAACAAATTCCTGAGTTGAGAGTTCTCTAATGCTAAATATATGCACATTTTGCTGCAGATTCAACACACGAGGTCTTACAGTTCAAGCAAAAAATCAAAATAGATCCACAACTCTGAAGTCTGTGCAGCCCAAATGTAGATTCATAAGAATACAAATTGTCTTGTGTTCCGCTGTTTGTCCATTTAGCCCAGTACTGAATCTCATTTGACTGGCAGAGGTTCTCCCAAGGGTCTCAAGTAGGAAGATGCTTTTCCTAGATTCCTGGGACTGAACATCAGGCTGTGTGTGTGTGTGCAAGGTGTGTGGTCTACAAATGAGATATGATCACTCCCTGCCAGTCATAGCAGTCAAAGGCAGCCTCGGATGAAGAAATTTGTGCCTAGAAAGTGTTTCTCTCCAAGGAGAATGGTGAAAAAAAGAAGAAGAAAAGAGCTAGCATGCTCTTCTCTGGTCCTACTCCAGTTCATATGCTCTTCAACCATGGTATGGGCTGTCCTCTTCTTGAAATTCCAGTGGGATTATCTTAAGTATGTTTCAACATGTAAAATAATTAAGATTTGCCACAGCTTGAGCAAATTCAATATGTTTTCTAACAGGAGTATTTTGTAGAGTAAAATTGATTGTAGTTAACGGTCTAAACAACTATTGTAAGAAATTAGCTCCATAGGCTGCCATCCATGGAAAGCCAGACATTGGCAATAATCACTTAGCTTGCATATGCTATTCTTGCAAAACTGATGTTGCACAATCTTCTATGCATGAATATGCCAAGAAAAGGAAGAGAGGGGAGGGGGAGAGGACCAGGATTCCTGAGAAGGAAGTAGGGAAAATGGGTTGAAACAAACAGTTCTTAACACAGTGGAACATCCCCACAAAAATAGTAGACAGGAGGACTTGGCTCTGTATGTGAATCTCTTGGGTTTTAAATATAACATTCTTGTTTCCTTGACTGCCAGAATCTCTTCCACAACTGTAGAAGAAAGCTTGAAAAAAATGACAGGACTGTATAAATAGTTTTAATTGAGTACAGTGATTGGCAACCTTTTTTCAGTACCACATGTTAGGAATTATTAATATATACTGTACTTACTGAACACGCTATATATACTGGGGTTGTTCCTTTGGATCTACAATTAACCATAGGCTCCTCAAACTCTGATCAAAATCCACAGCAAGCAAACCCCATGGAGAAAACAATTCCACTTGCAGCATCCCAGAAACCCTTCAATAATTCATTTTGTCTTCTCAAAGCAAAATCAGGATTTTTCTTTTCTCTTTGTACACAACATGTAAACAGCTGTTCCTTTCTTTGCTGGCAACAGGATCTCTCCACATCCTTGGGCCAACTTCTAGAGATAGATCCTTTTCACGCTTCTAACTCACCCACCTCCCCACATACTTCCAACACAACTGCTCCACAAGAAGAGGGTTATGTGAATGGTTGCCTAGCCCTATGGAAGTCAAGGTGCTTGCCCATCTGCCTGTCCTGTCAGGCCCCAAGTACCTCTGCCTTATTCACCTGCAATCTCTTTGGATGCCCTTGTGGTATTGGAACAGACTCTTATACCTGAGCAAAAGGAGGGTGAGCCTCCTTACTGTCCCCCCCACAAACATTCATTTCATAGCAGGAAGCCCTGGTTGCATACAGTCTTTACAACTTTTCTGTTTATGGCCCCCCCACCTTCTTCTTCCAGCCATAAAAGTCCCAAAGGGAGCCCAAATCAGAAGCTTAAAGCGCTCCCACAGTGGACAGCAGCATCCTCTCCCCAAATGGTCCGGGTGGGGCAGACCTCCTCTTCCAGCATCCACCGTCCATTCGCACAGTCTTCACCCACCTCTGAGTGTGTGTGGGGGAGAAGCATCTTCCAATGGCCCCCCCACCTTCTTCTTCCAGCCATAAAAGTCCCAAAGGGAGCCCAAATCAGAAGCTTAAAGCGCTCCCACAGTGGACAGCAGCATCCTCTCCCCAAATGGTCCGGGTGGGGCAGACCTCCTCTTCCAGCATCCACCGTCCATTCGCACAGTCTTCACCCACCTCTGAGTGTGTGTGGGGGAGAAGCATCTTCCACTGGCCACCCCCACCCCCACCCCACCACCAAGGCTCACACTCTTTGGAAGCGGGCTTGCTCGCCACGCTGACCCGTCCTGTGGGAAACCGACCCCCCTCCCCTCGGCCTGCTGTCGCGTCGCCCCGGCCCGCTCGCTTGCCTTCCCCTTTCCCCACAGGGGCCAACCCTCCCCTTTGCCCCGCGCC